ATACGACCTCTAGCAGACGACCGAAATATTGTCATAACCTGTGAGCAGGACTTCGATAACTTTCATACATCAACAAACAGAGTAAATTCACAAGCTAATAAGTCTTTGTTTAACTACAACGAAGCTACTTTATCACATTCTGCAATCAACACATCTTCCGACTGTATAGACGATGATAACAGAGTTGGGCCATTAAAACAACAATCCTTACGAGATTTTGGCGGGTTTGCCTCGACCCCACAGCCTGATAAAAAGAAATAATGATGCCTGACAGTATATACTAAAATATACCAAAACCTCAATATGTGTACCATTAAAATATATATTTAACAAATCACTAGAATCAGGCGTTTTTCCAACAATTTGGAAAAAAGCAAATGTCCTACCTTTCTATAAAAAAGGAGACAGCTCTCTAGTTTCAAACTACCGACCTATAAGCCTATTAAGTTCTTTGAGCAAATTATTAGAAAAGGTAGTTTTCAAACACCTGTTTAACTATTTTCATGAAAACAATCTCTTGTACAAATACCAATCAGGGTTTCGACCGAACTACTCTACTGTTCATCAACTTTTAGAAGTGTATCATGATATCTCATCTGCAATAGATAAGCAACTATATTCCTGCTATGTTTTTTGCGATATATCTAAAGCGTTTGACCGCGTATATTTACCTGGTTTGATTCACAAATTAAGTCAATATGGGGTTTCAGGCATGCTAATTACGTGGTTGTCTAGTTATGTCCAAGACCGGACTCAACGGGTATTCGTAAATGGCTCTGTGTCATCAGAAATTACTCTTCAATCAGGAGTTCCCCAGGGATCAGTTTTGGGCCCCTTTTTGTTTTTGACTTACATCAATGATGTACAAGATGTACTCCATAATGTGGCTAGATTATTTGCAGACGACACGGCACTTGGGTGTAGCAAACAGTCAGTTTCAGAGATAGAACAGTCCCTAAACTACGATCTGACGAATCTCAACATTTGGGCGAATAATTGGCTTATAAACTTTAATCCAAACAAAACAAAAGCTATTTTATTTAGCTCCAAAAAAACAGAAAATTATCCGAGTCTGATATTCGATAATCAAGCACTTGAAGTGGTTAAATGTCACAAACACTTGGGCATTACCCTTTCAAATGACGCCAAATGGACCATCCATATAGAAACTATTATCTCGTCCACCTCAAAATTATTAAATATTTTGCGTAAACTAAAATTCACCTTTAATAGACAAACTCTAAATAACGTATATTTGATATTCATAAGGCCAAAATTGGAATACGCATGTGAAGTGTGGGATGGGTGTAACGTTTCCAATACCGAAAAACTTGAAAAGGTACAGCTAGAAGCTGCCAGGATTGTGACTGGACTAACTAAAACTTGTTCTCGTGAAGCGCTTTATTTTGAAACCGGATGGAATAAATTGTCAGACAGACGTACACAAAAGCGACTAACCACATTTTTTCAAATTAAAAATCAGAGAAACCCAGCATACTTATATGACATTCTAGAATATTATCAACAAACACCACAAAAATACAATTTAAGAAACATTAGCGAATATAGATATCCTTATTGTAGAACAGCATTACACCAAACTTCGTACTTCCCCACAACAATTCGAGATTGGGAATTATTAGAGGACCCCATAAAGCAATCAACCACTCTTAAATCCTTCAAATATCTATACAAACAAAAATTACGTTCCTTAATACATAAAGCGCCAATCTACTACTGTAAAGGTAATAGACATGAAAATATTATTCACACTAGAATACGGCATGGGTGTAGTTCGTTGCAAAATGATTTGTATGAAATAAACGTTGTGAATGATCCCACATGTTCTTGTGGCAAATTTATAGAAAATGCCGAACACTATTTCCTGCAATGTCACTTATATGATGTAATTCGTGCTGAACTATTAAATACATTGTCAAGTTATTCTGTGATAAATATAGATATCCTATTGTGCGGCAATTCAGAATTGTCAATTGAGATGAATACAAACCTTTTCCTTGAAGTTCACAAATATATCAAACTTTCAAAACGATTTAAATTTAAATAAAAGTTATTGTTAGTAGTTACATCTTAGAATAAATTATTAGCTTTAGCTTTTTTGGTGGATAACTTTTTTTTTTTTTTTTTTTTTTTTTTTTTCCGCACCCCCCACCCCCCATTTTTTTTATTTTTTATTATTATTTCTTTTTATCATTTTATACATGCATCAGTTCATTTATATCCCATTTATTAAACTTTATTTTTCAATGTTTTAAATATAATTTTATATTCTCTTTATCACCTCTTCACTTATTTTATATAGAGCTTTGAGATATAATTCATCTGACTTTACTTATATTACTTATAAATTATTTATTATTGTATATACTATTTCGAAATCTTGTTAGTATTAAATAATGTCTATCATTTCTATGTATGGAAAGGGCTTTTCTAAGTTTTTGAAACTTGTGCTCAATCCTTTTGATATTTGTCAATAAAATATGTTTAAACTAAACATGTGCATGCTAAGAGGGAATCTTTTTCGGGAAAGCGGCGGTTCTGTCTATCCTTCTCTGAATGGGAGAATGGATGGTTAGCGCGTGCGTTTTGTATCATAAGGTCAGTCATTGCGTCAACTGGCGTAGTTTCGATTCCCCGGTTGTAGGTAACAAGGAGTAGGGTCGCCTGCCAACCTCGTGGCTTTTCTCCGAGTCATCGGGTTTCCTCCAGCTATTGAAACAAAATTGAACCATATCCTTGTCTGAAATGTCCTATTTATGTTGAGTGGACGTTAAATTCCATCTCTCTCTCTCTCTCTCTCTCTCTCTCTCTCCTCTGATTTCAAACTGTCATACGTGCATGTCAGATGCGTGTTGTAACACTACTATACTAGTAACAGAATCAGCTACACAAATACATCCGGCGTGGTTCCCCCTTGTCAGTGATGCAGGACGGAGGGCCTGACAAGGACAGCTGTCTAGTCGTTCGGATGGGACGAAAAACCGAGGTCCCGTGTACACATTGGCGTGCACGTAAAAGACCCCTTGGCAGTTGGAATTCGATATAAGAGTACCCTGTAACAAATAAATCCGTGAAAAAACGTATAAAATTCCGGAAACAAAAATTACCAGGAAAATTTTATCCGTATTTGTTTTTCCGGTAATTTACAGAAACTCCTTCAATTAACATAAATTCCATTTTCAAATACAGAAAAAAAAATCCTGGTAATTTTGTTTCCTGAGCATGAAAGTGATAAAATATTTTATTATGACAAAGGGAGAAGATGACCCGTCCTCTCTTCTCGCGACAGCGAATTTATAAGTGTGCTTTAAGAAACTTTGGAATCAGAGGCCCTTTTTTTTGTTTTAACAATTTAAAAGTGTAAATAATTTAATTAAATCAACCTGTCCATAATATCATATTCATTGTATTGGACGTTAAATATGTAATAAACAACAACAACAACAACATTCACAATAACTTGTCTACGATATCACTTGGACATAGAATTCCGAGAACGAACGAACGATTCTAAATAAAACTAATGACCCTACATTATTATATAAACGTCTGGTCTTCATTAACATAATACATGTATATAATCGGTTGTTAATAATTACGCATTTAGAATAGGCCAACTCCTAACATTGTCCGATGAGAGTTACTTACCTTTGTCAACTTCCTATTCAAATAACAATTTATGGGATTGGTCGATAAATATAGCACACTCATCAAGGGCGGATATAGTGACAGGGTGTGCTCTTAACACAAATCACGAAGTGTACAAATTTATTATTGTCTCCCTTGAAACGGAAATACACCCATAATTCAGTTAATATTGAATGTTTTTTCGGATTGGATTTCACTCGGCAAACCTCGGGGGTTTCCGTTACGCTACATCTAGCCTGGACTGTATGACGGTAAGTGGTATGTACCTACGCCTATACAATTGCGATGCGGCACCGGTTTACTTATTAAGAAAACTTGCCGCTTATAAAAAGAAGTTATCAAAATTGCGTCGTTCGAAGCGTGTGTTGAATGTTTAGTGCACAGTTGTCCTTATTTGAAGAAAATTGGATAAACTTGAAAGAAAAACAGCTTCAGTCTTTGAAATATTTTTATGATAAAACATTCTTCAAAGGCGTCTTCGTGGGCAACGCCGTTGGTAATCCGGGAACTTGAAAGTAGTTCCAATGGCGGACTTCGTCATATAGCCGAGGCTAGATGTATGGTACTGGAATCTGCTGAGGTTTGCCGAGTGGATTTGATTTCTGTCAGTTCGAAGTTACGCCCCCCCCCCCCAAAAAAAAAACAAGCCCGAACTTAAACTGCATGGCTTCAGATTTGAGACAAGCATATGATCACTGTTGGCAGGTACATTTTCCAATGATAATAACGTGCCCACATTATTATTTTCTTCTCCCTTGAAACGACAATTTTCGCCTGATTCCTTGAACAGTTACCGTTCTTGGTGGGTTGCTATTGATATAAGGACAGCGAATATTGGGATGGGATGTGATGTAATGGTGGGGCGGGACCACAAACCCAAAGTGTGCGCATTATTATTTTTCTCCCTTGAAACGATCATTTATGCGGTATTCATTGAACATTAATTACCGTTATTGGTGGATTACGTTTATACATATTATAAAGAATTATATGAAATGAAATGAAATGGGGTTTAACGTCCTACTGTTTTGCTCCGAACTGGGCTAATGAAGACGGGCATATACAGTGTGCTATGAGGGAAATTTTGCCCGGACAGCGGCACTACGGCCTACGCCAATGTGTACACGGGACCTCGGTTTTTCGTCTCATCCGAATGACTAGACAGGACAGCCTCCGTCCTGCATCACTGACAAGGGGAAACCACGCCGGAAAATCTGGATGAACTTTCTCGGCCAATGCAGGGATCGAACACCCGACCTCCAGGCTAGCGAGCCAGCGCCTTACCCACTTAGCCAACGTGATCCCCAAGAATTATATGAGACAAGTTGTTATATCACTGTTTATTAAGTTTTAAATTAAACAATTAACACCGACACCTCAGCTATAAGGTCATTATAACAATAAAACAATCAGCTAACCAAACACAGCTATATCACTGGGGCCTGTTTCACGAAATTTTAACTACGATAAAATCCAAATTTTAGTAATTTGATTGGATAATATTAGATTGATTTTAGTGCTTAGCCAATCAAAACTGAAGTCTCTACTTAAATTTGGATTTTACCTTTAGTTAAGATTTTGAGAAACAAGGCTCGACCAGTCTATTAAAGACACATGTATGGGAGAGTAGATAAAGAGCGGGCAGTTCTCACTATAATAGTTAAAAACTAGATAATGTAAAGGGAATTTGCTGAAAATTTCAGTCAGTTTGCTCCACTCTGAACCAAAAATTTAATAATTGAATTTTGGGCCTAGCCTCGATCATCATTACTAAAGTCGGTACGATGAAAGCATAGTCTCGATTATTCAATTTTTTAAAATTTAATCATGAATGAGCGTTGAGCAACAGATCGGATTATAATCCAGTAAATATCGCAAGCTAGCGATGACATCGCGAGTTGATTATGGTCTGGATAAGTCAATTAATGTGTAATTAATAATTTAGAGAACGTTTCAGACCTAAAGAAAGACCTGCATTTGGCAGATTTAGATCTTGCATAATGTATGTTTAAGTTTTAAATTCAGCATTTAACACCGAAACCTGTAAGATCACAATAACAATACACAACAATCAGCTAAACACATGGAGTAATAATTCACACCGATACCACATTAAATACAGCTATCGTCGGTGGGGAGTCAAAGAGTCGTATCTGGCATATTTTGCGAAATTCACTTTTTTGTTTCTTCAGAATGAGAATTTTCTTGCGCATCTTTTCATCTGGTTGTCGTATTTCTAAGCCAATAAAAAGAGGTTTTATAGATACTGTTTCAAAATGTCGTATATGGGGTGTTCCAAAAAAAAAAAGAATTATTAAGAGCGAAAATGTATTTTCTTGAAAAAATCAACATTGCGTCTAACCAAATCATTGCAATCAAACGAAATATAGCTAGTATTGTTTTATGGTTAAATACGTATTATTGAAATTATTATTGAGCCTCTACTGTGTGAAATCTATGAAACTGAAGCAGGTAATGGTGAATTTTTTCCTGAGATATGTCTTTACTGTATAAAATTGCAATTAACTAGCTTTCACTCTTTATTTCTGTACCAGATGCTGATCATGATATGTGCGGATAGTTACATACTGTTTAAATGGCTACACATACATTTTGTACATAAATATTTGAGAAAAGCTTTAGAAATACGACATTTTACATACGATATTTTGACGTTACATTTTGATTCTTAACCCCTGTGCTATTGTTGGCTCTCCTGGACAATTTCGCAAAACCCAGATACGACATTTTGACTCCCCCCCCCCCCGACGCTATATGACTGTTTATTAAAAGTTTAATATAAATCTTGCATAATACACGTTTAGAATGAAATAGCAATTACAGTTAAATCAAAACTGGCTCACATAAAGCACAAAATATTCGTTTATAATTACTTATATTTTTCAATAATTAGGTCAGTCGCATACGTTATTTTAAGTGTTGGCAATCTTCAGTCATAAGTGCACACAGAGAGAGAGAGAGGGAGAGCGAGAGAGAGAGAGATAACGTCTACTCGAAACAAACTAGGTCACTTCGGGACTAACATAATATGGTTCAATTTAATTTCAATAATCCCCTTGCGCGTAGGGATCTTTAGCAGTGGGAGGAAACCGGAGGTTTCCCAGAAAACTCACGAGGTTGGACATGCGACCCTTCTCCTTGTCAGGTACAACCGAGGAATCAAAACCACGCCAGTTGACTCAATGATAGACCTTATGATACAACGCGAACGCGGTAAACATTCGACAATCCAAGTCTTCTCAATCATTAGTTCAGTGGTAGACCTTAATTTAAACATACATTATGGAAGATTAGATAAAAAGCTGGCACTCCCCACTATGATAGATACAAACTAGAGAATGTAAAGGGATTATGCTGAAAATTTCAGTCAAATTTCATTCTAAGCCGAGAAAACCTTATTTTAAAATCTCTGTAGCCTCGATTGTCATTGTTACCGCTATCACGATAATTGACTATGTCTCGATTATCCACGTTTGCGTTTAATCATCAGATCGGATTCACATCCAAAGAAAATCGGGCACATGAGATGGTATCGAGAGTTGATGATGTTCTTTTCATGTTAATAAATGTCTAATTAATAATTTATATAGCATTTCAGGCCTAAAGAAAGACCTGTAATAGGCAGATTTACCTCTTGCATAATGTATGTTTAAGTGTTGACATGTTTAAATAAATATACCAGACCTTATTTTGAAAATTATTGCTGGGAATTCAGTAGTAGACATTATTTTAAGGGTTTACATTTTTTAATAATTAGGAAAGCCGTAGACCTTATTTTGAATACTATTGCCAGAAATTCAGGAGGATGTATTTAAAAATAAGCCAGTTTAGATTTAAGGATACTCTGTTGTGCTTTCGTTATGAGACTGTGTGGTCGTTTATCCCATAATTTGGTATTGCCGTCGACGAACCATTAGGTTTCTTAAAAATCGAACAACTGAACGTCGTATTTCATACCAGGAATTAGATTGGGCTTCGTTGCATAGATAATATGCAAAGCGTAACAGAGTACATGTTGAGGCACGGCGTATTGGTTGAATGGTTGTTGGTGGAAACGTTTTCGGAGATGTTGTCGTGAGTATAGTTGTCGTTTGTGAAGTTGTTGGAGACGTTGTTGTTGTTGATGTCGTTGGTGTTGTCATTGCAGCACAAGTACTACAACACTGAGCTCGTCTACCGGCAGTAATAAAACCACAATTCGCTGCAACACATCTTACGGTAGGATCATCCATTTGTGGACACAAATCTAAATTAACCAAATAGAAAAATTACTTTTATGGTTACACATAATACATCATCTCCAATAGAAGGCTTGATCTCCCCGAGGTCCTCCGGTTTCCTCCCACTGCTAAAGACCCCTACCCGCAAGCGAATTATTGAAATAAAATTAAAAAATTAAACCATATGTTAGTCCCGAAATGACCTAGTTTGTGTCGAGTGGACGTTAAGCCCTCTCTCTCTCTCTCTCTCTCTCTCTCTCTCTCTCTCGCTCGCTAAGTGGGTAGGACGCTGGCTCGCTAGCCTGGAAGTCACGTGTTCGATCCGTGCATTGGCCGAGAAAGTTCATCGGGATATTCCGACGTGGTTTCCCCTTGTCAGAGGTACAGGACGGAGGGCCTGACAAGGATAGCTGTCTAGTCGTTCGGATGGGACGAAACACCGAGGTCCCGTGTATACATTAGCGTGCACGTAAAACATCCTTCGGCAGTTCGAATTCGATATAAGAGTAGGCCATAGTGCCGCTGCCAGGGCAAAATTTCCATCCTAGTACACTGTATGTCGTTTGCCTGTCTTCATTAGCCTAGTACAGGAGCAGAAAATTGGACATTAATCCCCATTCTATTTTCATTTTTATAGAATTGTCGATGCTTAAAATGTTTAAACTATGTTATAGTAGTATAAATACAATAGTTTTAGATTTCCAATTTTACAGACATGTCAAGGAGATGTTTGAAAAGTACACTTTTAAAACGATGACCGGACCAGCAATGACAGACTCTGTGGTTGACACTCTGCTTATTGGTAAATTTTATTCTATAATTCGATGTCATTAAAAATACCCAGCTGATTAAATAGTAGAAAGGCAAAACTCTAAACGAAGCCTGGGTGCTGTTTTAAATATCATTCCGTGGACCTTTTATAAACAAATGACGCTTGGCATCCATCAGGTGCGATACATCAAGATCCACCTTGCTGCGTAGGATGCGTGTCTCAAACATATCTCTGCTACAAGTCAGTTTAGATAGTTGAGAGAGGGAGAGGAATGGGGTTTAACGTCCACTCGACACAAACTAGGTCATTTCGGGACAAACATATGTTTTTAAATTTGTTTTCAATAATTCGCTTGCGCGTAGGGGTCTTTAGCAGTGGGAGGAAACCGGAGGACCCGGAGAAAACCCATGAGGTTGGACAGCCGACCCTACTCCTTGTTACGTACAACCGGGGATTCGAAACCACGCCAGTTGACTCAAAGATAGTTTAACAAATGACCTAATGTTCGAGGGAACATATCTTTAAAGTATTTATTTACCTGAAGGTCTTGATGGAGCTTGGTCGCTAGCAACACATTCACCTGCTACACACCACTGAAATATCCACAAAGTAAAGATGTCATTTTGTTGAGTTCATATCCATATGTTCTTTGAGGGCCAGGGTTGGGTTGCCGAATGTTCTAATCCTTGCGCTTTAGATCATAAGGGTCTGCCAATGCGCCAACTGGCGTCGCTTTGATTCCCAACTTGTAGGGTTAAATCTAAGCAGTTTGTACGTGTCCAAACTAGTGGGTTTTCTCCGGTGTATAAGTCCCCACCCACCTCGTAAAATATAAGTGTATGTATAAACTTATAACGGTAAATCTCCTTAATATTTGGGGTATATTCTATGCCCGGAATAACTTGCGGTCTGAAATTCGGGGGAAGCTTTGGATATATACAGGGGAATTTGGGGTTATTATTCCAGGGTAGGTTTTTTTTTCTATAAGAAAATATGATATAAGGTTTTTCTTTCTGGAATTCTCATTTTACGTACATGCAGACACAAACGGTTTATAAGCAAGATAAAGTCCACGACTTCGGTTATGCTGGGGAAGAAAGACTTCAGAAAATAAATCTCGAAAGAAAGACCTTGTCCTAGGTTTTTCTTTTTCTCTGGTTATTTTCCCCAGTCTTTCTTTCCCCAACATAACCTCAGTCTCGTGCTTTATCCTAAACTTATTATGTATTTATCTCACCTTTCTATCACCACAGACCGTGAAGTTATTAAATGTTACTGAGCCGCTCTCTCTCTCTCTCTCTCTCTCTCTCTCTCTCTCTCTCTCTACGGGGTTGAACCATGCATACGATAATATAGGCTATATATATACATTTGCATTTATCTCACCTTTCTATCACCACAGACCGTGAAGTTATTAAATGTTATTGAGCCGCTACATTGATTTGTAGATGTATCTTGACAAATACCATTCATAGGCCCACACATTGCTGCAAAAAACGGCTCAGATGAATACGCGGCCTGAAGAGAGAGAATATATCAATAACAGAACAGAATAAACCCTTTTCTTGGTTGATATTAAAATTCAAACATGCCATTATAGGAGGCAGTGACACTTTTCATTAATGGAGTAAATATACATCACTTCAAATTGTATTTTTACCGTAAACTGACTGGCAGAAAGTTGCCAGTAAATTGACTATATTTTAACACTGACTTGTAAATGTGCCCCAAATTGGTAGATTTAGATTTACAACCACAGTATAAATGTACAGTGAGTGCAAAAAAAACTTTGAGGTAAATTTACAACCACAGTGTAAATTTACGGTGAACGTGAATTTACCTCACTTTCTATTTACAAGAACAAGTTATGTTACACTCATTGTAAATTTACATGCTGTTTGTAAATCTAAATCTATCATTTAAGTGTAAATTTACAAGTCAGTGTTAAAATATAGTCAATTTACTGGCAAATTTAAGGTAAAGATACCAAAATATTATTTACAGTGTATAGGAAACAGTTAAACTTTTCATTAATGAAACTATCGGGAAATAAGTAATGAATACTGTTATGTTGACAGTAATGTAATAGACTAAAACGAACACAAATGTATTTGGCGCCAATATTTGTTTCAAAATTAAGATAGCGAGATATCTATAGAAAGTATTGTAAACTTTAAATTAATTACTATAAATTATTTCAGATTTACCAATTTAGGTAATATTCATTCTAATTAAAACACAGATCCTATTTCGTTTTTTATAGTTTAAAAAATTTCGTTTAGAATAAAGATATTTGATTGAAATTTTCAATATTTTCATTTTGTATTATCTATTTTTGAACTATTATAGGAAGAACGATCAGCTATTTATCTAAATTTTACATAATGTATATTTAACATTCAGGCGTATATACAAAATCGAAGGCGAAACCATAGCAATAGCAAATTACCACACGTTTGCCTCAAAATAAACGAAGTTTAATGTTGACGAGACATTCAAATCTATTCTATTCCGTACTCCAATGACAAACTGACATTATAACAATAATATAACCCCGCCAGACTTGCTTGTGCTTTATTTAAAGGGGGTGGTGGTGTCACAGCCATACAAGTATTTCATTTACACAAAAGCTGTCACACGTTATTGAAACATCTGTTATCTAACTTTAAGTCTAACCCCTATTACACTAATCGGCAATACTATATACCGGAAAACATGGGAAAACACCGGAAAACACCGGAAAACAACCGGAAAACACCATTTTTTACTGAATACCGGAAAACACCGGAAAAACACTAAATACCGGAAAACACACTAAGAAAATACCCTAAATAGGTGTTTTCCGGTATTCAGTATAACATGGTGTTTTCCGGTAGTTTTCCAATGTTTTCCGGGTGTTTTCCGGTGTTTTCGGGTATATAGTATAGCCCACACTAATATATCTTCTATGTATCTACCGACATCGAATTTGATTACTCTATTGGGACGATGGTTCTGTATTTTAATAAAAACCAGAATTAACATTACTTTATTTACTGATGTAGTTTTTTTTATGTATTTGGAATATAAATTTGGAACAAGAATGCTTGAGATAAGAAGAATAGTGATAGATGAGACATTTGACACGTGACAATCTGACTGGCGAACATCTCCAAAGATAAGTCGTTCTGCGGAATTATCAAGTAATAAAATTGTTCATGGTGTCTTAAATATTGGATATCGAAATGAAATGTAATGGGGTTTAACGTCCTACTGTTCTGCTCCGACTGGGCTAATGAAGACGGATATCGGATATCAGGAGTCCATATGTTTCTGGTAATGTAACAACATCACTATTGATTGGAATTGACCAATAATTCGTGTCTGCAATGTGGTCAGGTCTATTTCAGAAGGCCACATGCAGATTTCCCCAAGTTCACGAGATGCAAACAGGGTTAGGGCACGTGCTTTTTGCCGCGGATTGTGGGTTAAGGTAAGGCTTAGGACTGGGTCTTGGATTAGGATTAGCATTAGGGTTAGCGATAGCCCTTAAATTGTTACAACTCGTGGACGTGTGACATAGATCTAACCCTGCAATGTTGAAGACTCTGTATACGCCTTTTATCTGTTCCAGATATAGTCACACGGGACGGGTATTATAATAACCACATAAGCCTGTCATATCAAAATTAGAAATAGCCTCGTCAGATATCATGTCACAATCACTTACCCGACAAAAGTATGATCCAGATCCATAGACAGCTCGGCATTGGTCGTCAGCATCTGAAACATATCACAATTCATATTCGTCTATACTGGTATCAAATTTTATGAAATTGTGCGTGATTTGCATTTTTTTGTAAAATATCAGATTTATATTAATTTTTCATTTATTTATTTCATAATTTCCCTTATTATAATTGTTTATTTTTTTGTGTATTATAGAAATACAGGTCTATTTTTAATTAAATTGTTCAATTAATTTAAAATAAAGTTGAATATTTAACAGAGGTTTTGATGAGGAATGACATGTGGATTTAGCCAGCGAGATTATAAGTAGTCTATTAATCATAAACTACATATTATTGATTCTGATATGCTACATAATGACTTATTGAATTGTAGGATAAAAACATAAAGTAATTCTTATCCATATGCATAGATACGAGTTTTTTTTATTAATTTTTTGAGGATTTTATCAGTATAGTCGTTCGGGCAAAATTTCCTTCATAGCACATTGTATGGCGAATGCCCGTCTTCATTAGCCCAGTCGAGGCAGAACAGTACGACGTTAAACCTTACTTCATTTCATTTCGGGACTAACATATGCTTTAATTTTATTTCAATAATTTGCTTGCGCGTAGGGGTATTTAGGAGTGAGAGGAACCGGAGTGCCCGGGAAAACCAACGAGGTTGGATAGGCAACCCGTCTCCTTGTCACGTACAATAGGGGATTCGAAACCAAGCCAGTTGACTCATTGACAGGCTTATGATACAGCGCGCACATGCTAACCATTCGTCAATCCACCCCACCCCCTTCATTTCATTGAAAAATTTATTACTGCTATTTATCTGGTGGAAAGTATTACGTTGTCCAAAATTATGATAATTAATTTTTGATTACTAGTAATCTCGTAAAAAGCATTAACTAGCCGAGAACTATATCTCCTCAATATTTCTGATGATTTATTTAGTATAAATGAAATGAAATGGGGTTTAACGTCCTACTGTTCTGCTCCTATACTGGGCTAATGAAGACCGGCATACGCAATACAGTGTGCTACGAGGGAAATTTTGCCCGAGCAGCGGCACTATCGCCTACTCTTATATCGAATTCCAACTGCCAGAAAATCTTTTACGTGCATTCCAATATATACACGGGACCTCGGGGTTTCGTATCATTCGAAGCAATAGACAGCTGTCCTTGTCAGGCCCTCCGTTCTGCACCACTGACAAGGGGAAACCACGTCGGAAAATGTGGATGAACTTTCTCTACCAATGCAGGGATCGAACACCCGACCGCCAGACTAGTTAGCCAGCGTCTTAACCACCTAGCCACCGTGGCTCCTATTTATTATATTTAATGTTGATTTCGTTTTTACTTTACTTAACTTTGAACAGCATCACATTGCCGGATATAAGATATATTATCATAACGATTTGTTTGTTGTTTGTTTGTTTGTTTGTTTGTTTATTTTATTTATTTTATTAAACCCTGATGTTCAATGATTTAAAACCCAACACTAAATATAGAAATAAAAATAATAATTTTTATTTTCTTTTAAAGATACAGAGTATTAAACATATTAAGTTGATTACAGTGATTAAATCAAATATCAAGCAGTACAAGAAAATTTGTAAGAAGTCTAATTAATCTATTCATAAAATGACTACTATATTATATATTTAGGTCTTTTAAAAACAAAAATAATATTATAAATTATGTTTCTGTTAACCGGGATCGTTGAGGTTTTAAAGTTCAACATTAAAATAAAAATATAAAAATGGAAATAAAAATTCTTACCAGTACAAACATTCTTAGAACTCTGAACTAATTTATTTATGAAAACAATTATTATATTATATGTTATATTTCTGTTAACTCGGAGTTTTTAGGTCTTAAAGGCTAACAATAAATACAAAAATAAAAAATTCTTACAAGAAAATTTGTCAGAAATCTGAACTAATTTATTCATTAAATAATATTATTATACTCTATGTTATGTTTCTGATAACTCGGATTTTTGAGGCCTTAAAGCCCAACATTAAATACAAAAATAAAGAAAATTGATAGAAATCTGAACTAATTTATTTATGAAAAAATATTATATTATATGTTATGTTTGTTTTATCTCTGACTTCTGAGGTATAAAAGCCCAACATATATATATTTCCTTTTACTCGGATTTTTGACGTCTTAAATCCGGACAGTAAATACAAAAATGAAAATAAAAATTGAAATAACAACACAATTTTTATTTATTATATTATGTATTATATTTATGTTAAGTCAGTGGCTATTGTTACGACGAGTCGTAAAAATAGTCCTCAGGCTATTGTTACGACAATGCTTTCACAGCCCTCCATCGGCGAAGTTAAAAAACTGAATAGTTGTAAAAATAGTCCTAACCCTAATCCTAACCCTTCCCATCTCTTAATTGCTGAAAGCGTTGAAAATACTGCTCCTTTTTCAAAGCTGGTGTTGGAGAGATTGGCAGCCATTTTGGAATTCGTTCTAAACTTGGCTCAGACTCGTTGTAACAATTGCCACTTTGTTATGTTAATGCTAGGTTCCCACTATCACGATTTATGTTGTGAATGAAATCGTGGTTTTAATCGTGGTGATCCTATCAAGTCTTATCATATATTAAGGTCAGTAGTAGCAAACATGTTGATTGTATCAAAACGTACCCGAACGTATCTGCACGTAGCAGATCGTGGACTCAATAAGGACAATCATATCGAAATGCATCACACGACTTTATGATGTCTTAGAATCCAGCATTAAATACAAAACTAGGAAATAAAAATTATTCACCTGTAAAAAAATTATTACATATTATCTGAACTAATTTATTAATGAAAACAATTATTATATCATGTATCATATTTTTGTTACCTAGGAATGTTTGGGGTCTCAAAGCTCAACATTATATACAAAAATTATAAATATAGAAATAACAATCAAAATTCTTATCAATAAAAAATTTGTTATAATTATTATTATGTATCATATTTTTATTAACTCGAATTTTTATATATTATTATTTATATATTTCTATTTGCTCATATTTTTAATGTCTTAGAAGCCAATATTAAACACAAAAATATAAAAATGAACCTTACCAGTATAAAATTTGTTAATAACTAAACTAATTTATTTATTATTTTTTTTTATATATTATCTATTATATTTCTGTTTGTTCGAATATTTGAAGCCAATATTAAATACAAAAATATAAAAATATGAGAATTACCAGTATAACATTTGTTACATACCTTAACTAATTTATTTATTAAAAGTGTTTGTATATTATTTATTATATTTCTGTTTGCTCGAATTTTTGATGTTTTAGAAGCCAATATTAAATACAAAAATATAAAAATGAACCTTACCAGTATAAAATTTGTTAATACCTAAACTAATTTATTGGTTATTTTTTTTATATAGATTATTTATTATAATTATTTCTGTTTGCTAAAATTTTTGATATCTTAGAAGCCAAGAAATTTGTTAGAAATCTAAAGTAGTTATTATTTATGCAAAAAGTTTAATATTATGTATTATATTTTTATAACTCGGATTTTTGATGTCTTAGATTAAATATAAATATCTACAGATGGGAAATAAAAATAAAAATTCTTATTGCTGAACTAATGTTTTTATGAAATGAAATGAAATAGAGTTTAAAGGCTCAATACCACTCTTGTTGTAACTGAATAATATGTCCCAATCTTTATTCTGGTCAACAAATTGTACTATTTTAGAATATTTCAATTAATTGATGATACAAATTTCATCTTAACACACCTTATTTAAAGATTTTGAAAAATTCAACATAATGGTTTGAAACGTTTAACGTAAACCTTTTCAAATGAAACTTCGATTTAAAAATATTTTCGAACCCTCTTGACAAGTAATATAGGGTGTAATGGATAATTTACACAACAGTTAGGACACTTAAACATCTAGTACTTAGATAGAGATATTATTTATTTTCTGGAGCTTTCAAGCCAGCAAGAGTGTTATTGTCCCTTTCACGGCCTAGTGTTAACTGGAATTTATTCATGAACAAAAATTATATATTATGTATTACATTTATGTTAATTCGGATTTTTGATCCCTGCACTTACTATTAGAGTGGCCGAATGGTTAAAACGTGCTTGTTTAATCAGAAGGTCGGTCATTGAGTCAAGTGGCGTGGTTCCGATTCCCCGCTTGTATGTGACAACTTGTAGGATCGCCTGGCCAACCTCGTGGATTTTCTCTTGGCCCTCGGGTTCCCTCCTATTCCTTAAAAAAAACCTGCGCGCAAGTGAATTATTGAAATAAAATGGAACCATATGTTAGTCTCTCTCTCCCCCCCCCCTCTCTCTCTCTCTCTCTCACTCTCTCTGGTAATGAAAGTAAAAAGAACAAGCCTTACCTCCGGCTAAAGACACAGAATAACACACATAAAGTCCAAGCACTTGTAAAATCAAACACTTCATTTTATAACAGACAGATGGATATTCTTATTGAACTTCTTAAAATGCAATAGGACACAATTTGAAGCTCTTTTGGCTTATTTTTCAAAAACACCTACAAGAACTTATGCGCTTCAAAAACAATAATTCCGAAAAGAAGCAAGCAAATGTCCTGCACTTAAAATATAAAGGACAAAAATCAAAACTCTGTTGGTTTATTTTTCAAAAACACCTACTAAAAAGTATGTGTCTCTAAAAGAATAATTCCAAAAGGAAGCAAATGTTCTGCCCTAAAAATAAATCTATGAGTGTTCTACAAAAAGAGCTGTTTCAAAACTTGATCCCTCTTTTTGAATCCTCTTAGCTTCATTTGGGTCTCACGATATATTTCTGCTTTCTTAAGGAGTTATATTTTAATATTATTCGGAAATTTCTACTTGATAGAATGTGAAATGACAGTATTGATAAAAGAGAACGTTACACGTGTATGAATGAGATGGGTGGGGAAAACTTCAAATCTTTATAATATTATATAATGACATCCTTAAAAGGACAACCAACACCAACACTTCTTGATAACGCAACCTCTTCCCACAATAAAGCCCATCTAGCACCGTACGATCTTTCGCCGTCGGTGCTCCGAAGTTATGGAATTCAATATCAAACGAAACCAAAAGCGCAAATTCTATTAAAAGTTTTATAAAGTATCTCAAAACCGAACTTTTTAATCAAATATAGAACTGATTGAATGCAGTTCTAGCTGTGTTTGTGTCAGACTTTTACCATTTTACCGTTTTTTGTTTATGTCTTTTTTTTATGGATTAATGTGTTGAGCTTGTTGTAATTTTTTATTAGTTGTACTTATGTACAGCATCGGAGAGCAGCTCGCCGAGTTGAATTGTTAGCACTATATAAATCAATTATTATTATTATTATTATACGAAGAACTTAATGATTCTTCTGTGATATATCTATATTGTGATATGTAAATTACACAAATGCTGCACAAAGAGGTTAGCGCATTGAAATTGAAAAATGAAATTGGGCTTAACGTCCAACTGTTCTGCCATGTTCAGGAATCAATAATTATAGCTAATTATAGTGATAGCATGTAATTGGTGAATTCCAAAAATCGAATCAAGATGTGTGAATTTTTCATCGATCAAAAAATAATCGTATAGTGTTTAGCGGGCATGTAATTGGTGATTTCCAAAAAATCGAATCAAGATGTGAATTTTTCATCGATCAAACAATAATCGTATAGTGTATATCGGGCTTAAGACTTGGTGGAAATATGGATGATAACCCTACCTGTATTAAAGTTGACAGCCCTATATATAAACCATTCATGAATAATGCAAGATATAATGGACGGAAATGACATTCAAAACCTAAACAAGTATTGTTCCTCATTGATGCCCGGGCACTAAGGTTAAATATTTCGTAGAAAATAATATTTATGGGGCAGTGTAACTAGAATATTATATAATGTATCAATTTTATTTTCCGATCTGCAAACAATAGTAGAGGCGTGGCCCACGATTTCAAGCTGATCAACAGTAAATATTAGCAACGTCGCCAAAATTAGCTGTCTACAAATTAAAATCACCGAGTTAATTAGCTGTCTACGAATTAAAAACACTGAGTTAATTAGCTGTCTAGAAATTAAAATCTAGTGGTTTAACGTCCACTCGACATAAGTAGGTCATTATGGGACTGACATAGGGTACATTTTTATTTCAATAATTCGTTTGCGCGAAGAGGTGGGAAGAAAACTGATTACTAGCAGAAAACCGACGGGACTAGACAGGTGACCATACTCCATGTCACGTACAAGTGCAGGGTATAATTTCTACTAAATAATGTTTGTAATTTGAAGGAGCAATATTATGTTTATTCATGCTGTATCTACACGCGTTACGTATGTTTTTCGATGTGGTTTCCCCTTGTCAGTGCTGCAGGGCGGAGGGCCTGACAGGGATAGCTGTTTAGTCGTTCGGATGGGACGAAAAACCGAGGACCCGCGTATACTTTGACATGTACGTAAAAGATCCATTGGCAGTTCGGATTGGCAATTGGAATTCGATATAAAAGTAGGCCGTAGTGCCAAATTTTCCTCATAACACACTACATGGCGTATGCCCGCCTTCATTATCCCAGTGGGAGCATTAGGACGTTAAACTCCATTTCATTTCATTTCATTTATGGAAGCATATAACAAAAACTACAAATTCAAATAAAAAAATGAATAATAATAAGAGCCTTTTAAACAAAAGAGATAAAACACAAATTCTTCACAAGGATCCCTCTTCGAGTGTTGACGCGAAGAGTGGACGATAGAAAGACAGAGAGGCATACAGGTTGACGACTAAAAGCAACAACGACGTCCATTTCTACTCAGGTGATATCGAAGTAAAAGAATTGCCACCTATCTTCACCTGTCTAATTTATGCATTAAGTTTTGTCAAAAAGATTTCTCGTCTACTCACCAAACAAAACCCTAAATCATTAAAAACACGTTATGTCAATGATCCCCTCCTTTATAAATCACTTTTTGTAACGCTGGGTTATTTATAGGGGGACATGCATTGATACCTGGTCCACGATTATCATCACAATACATACAGATATTTAAAAATCAGTTCTGTCAAAAAGTCAAGTTCACTTGTTCAGTTTATGTGCATTTTATGTGTGCTTTATATGGTATTACATTGCTGAAGATAAGTGGCTGAAGTTAATGCTAGATCACGTCTGAGATTTTTTTTTAAAATCTCGTTTTTGTTAATAAATTTTGTTATTCAGTTATATCATAAAATAAAACCAAATACTAACAATCCAAACCATTAGATAAAATTTCGAGGTCCTAAAAAACGGTTTAAGGAAAATAGTGTTGGATAACATTCTGATGGCATATTGCTTTAACGAAGGGAGCTTAAACCCAATGAACTGATGATCGGCAATGATTAAACGATTTCGAAATTAAAATCGTATTTTGAAGTGCTAAAAAAACGGTATAGGCAAAATAGTGTGATCAGCTAATATTGGATAACATTTTCATGGCATATTGCATTAACTGGGAGAGCTGAAATTCAATGAACTGATGATTAAACGATTGCAAAATTAAAATCGTACAGCATAAAGGGGCATCAGGTAAGATTAGACAAAGAGCCGACAGTTCTCGATATAATATAAGATAAATAATGAAGAAAAAGTACTGTGTTGACAATTTCAGTCACATTGTTTCGCTCTGGGTCTCATTATCGTCGTTAGATGAACAGTGTAGCCTTGATTGCCATTACTACCGTTGTTACGTTAATAACAGAGTCTCGATTATCCATTTTAACGGTTTGATTATGGTCTTGGTAAGTTAATTAATGTCTAATTAATAATTTATGTAACATTTAAGGCCTAAAGAAAGACCTACAATAGGCAGATTTAGCTCTTGCATAAGCCTGCTCAACACTTAAGATTCTTGGAAAGTACGAATCGATGGATACAATTTATGTAAAAACAGTTTCTAGAATTATTAAGTGGTAAATCCGGGTTCGTTTAAAGAAACATTTATTGGTTGTTTCGGTGTGGGGTAGCGTGTGAAATAAATTTATGAATAGATACATTTAAATAATAAATAAAAAATACACATATGTAAAAAAATTCATACATGAAAATGATAAATACCAACATATATATGTTAATAACAAATATATATATATGTAAATAATAAATATATATATATGTAAATAATAAATATATATATATGTAAATAATAAATACACATGTAAATAATGAATACATACATATGTTAATAATAAATACATACATATATAGATAATAAATACATACATATGTAAATAATAAACACATAGATTTATAAATAATAAATACATACATATATAGATAATAAATACATACATATATACGTAATAAATACATACATATACAGATAATAGATAAATAAATATATAAATAATAAATACATATATATATATAAATAATAAATACATACATATATAAATAATAAATACATAAATATATAAATAATAAATACATACATATATAAATAATAGATACATACATATATATATAATAAATACATACATATATGAATAATAAATACATACATATTATATAGATAATAAATACATACATATATAAATAATAAATACATACATATATAAATAATAAATACATACATATATATATATATATATATATATATTTATATATAAATAATAAATGCATAAATATATAAATAATAAATACATAAATATATAAATAATAAATACATAGATATATAGTTAATAAATACATAGATATATAGATAATAAATACATACATATATAGATAATAAATACATACATATATAGATAATAAATACCTACATTTATAAATAATAAATACATACATATATAAATAATAAATACATACATGTGTTAAAAATAAATACATACATATACAGATAATAGATACATAAATATATAAATAATAAATACATACATATATAGATAATAAATACATACATATATAGATAATAAATACATACATATATAGATAATAAATACATACATATATAAATAAAAAATACATACATATATATATAATAAATACCTACATATAAATAATAAATACATACATATATAAATAATAAATACATACATGTGTAAATAAATGTGTGCGACTTCTTACCGATGAATAAAACTGGATAACACAAGCATATTTAGCCGCTTATTACTGGTAGGCCTACGTGACAAGGAGTAAATCGAGCTGCCTCTCTCTCTCTCTCTCCCTCTCTCTCTCTCTCTAACCAATTGAAGAAATCTGTTCCGTTTTTGTAAACCATATGGTAATCATAATTTTATACACAAAGAAGTGGTCGCTTTTCACACGGTTTTAAGGTTTTGATTTACGGTCCATTACTTCCAGTTTTAAGAAAATTAGTGGCGTTAATTCTATAATCGTATTAGCATTTTTATTTCGTTGGTTACTGAAGTGGCTTCATTTTGAACAAACTGTCATAATCAATTTATAACTAAATACTTTATAATCATGCAAGTATCGCTATTCAGCATTTGACTACGAATCGTCCTTGGGCTTAGGTCATAGATCATGTGATTTTCAATAAACCAAATATCTCTTGGTCTAGCTATGTGATTGAAATACGCGTGTATATAAAAGTGGAATTCTAAAAGGAAAATGGTGACATGTGCTGTACTTTAGACCCTTTAATCGCGAGAGAGAAATGGGGTTTAACGTCCACTCGACACATACTAGGTCATTTCGGTACTAACATATGGTTTAATTTTATTTCAGTAATTCGCTTGCGTGTAGGTGTCTTTAGCAGTGGGAGGAAACCGGAGGACCCGGTGAAGACCTACGAGGTTGGACAGGCGACCCTAATCCTTGTCACGTACAACAGGGGATTCGAAACCACGCCAGTTGACTCAATGACAGGCCTTATGATACAGCGCGCACGTGCTAATCATTCGGCCATCCAACCCCATTTGTTGCCAACAAGTTTAAACGCGGTAACAGCTCTCTAAACGAAACCGTTGGAGTTATTTCCCATGTTACCAACTCATCGCCCACCCCGAAAAAATAAGCCAAACACAAATAAAAACAAAGCTAAACATAGAAACACAAAAGATCGTTTGAGCAATAATTGAGAAATGCATTGATGGTTCTTATTATGAGAAACCTTATGGCAAACAGGACTCTTACAAACTCTTTTAATAACACCGTTCTTAATGCCCCCGTCAGACCGGGTGGCGTCCTTACTGCGCTGCTGCGACCGTACAGCGACTAGAAAATGCACAAGGTCGCCGGCAAACGTAAACACAACGCGAGAAATTGTCCCCAAAAATTTACAAACTTGATAAAAGTCTCGTTCGTTACCCCGTCAGACTGGGGACGCGCCTTTACTGCGCTGCTACGGCGACGGAAAATGGCCCCAGAGCGCGTCAAGATCGCCATAAGCGTGGTAAAAGCGTAGTGGAAACGCCAGATATCACGCTGTGGTCTCGATGGTCGCAAAAGATCGCCGAGTCACATGTGAAAACGCAATTTTTTGTTCAAGTTTGTAATATTTTAGAACATTTTCGTACGTTGTGTTCACGTTTGCCGGCGACCTTGTGCATTTTCTGGTCGCCGTACGGTCTCTGCAGCGCAGTAAGGACGCCACCCCGGTCTGACTGGGGCATTACAACTTTCAAGGTTAGATCGCAAAGCCTTGGCGTTTGTTTTGAACATGCTTAAAACAAGCGCGGTGACTAGGCGATCATTCACGACCATGGATATCTGGCGTTTCCCACCACGCGTTTACCGCGCTTATAGATAATAGATATATAGATATATAGATAATAAATACATACATATATAGATAATAAATACATACATATATAGATAATAAATACCTACATTTATAAATAATAAATACATACATATATAAATAATAAATACATACATGTGTTAAAAATAAATACATACATATACAGATAATAAATACATACATATATAGATAATAAATACATACATATATAGATAATAAATACATACATATATAGATAATAAATACATACATATATAAATAAAAAATACATACATATATATATAATAAATACCTACATATAAATAATAAATACATACATATATAAATAATAAATACATACATGTGTAAATAAATGTGTGCGACTTCTTACCGATGAATAAAACTGGATAACACAAGCATATTTAGCCGCTTATTACTGGTAGGCCTACGTGACAAGGAGTAAATCGAGCTGCCTCTCTCTCTCTCTCTCCCTCTCTCTCTCTCTCTAACCAATTGAAGAAATCTGTTCCGTGATGTAAACCATATGGTAATCATAATTTTATACACAAAGAAGTGGTCGCTTTTCACACGGTTTTAAGGTTTTGATTTACGGTCCATTACTTCCAGTTTTAAGAAAATTAGTGGCGTTAATTCTATAATCGTATTAGCATTTTTATTTCGTTGGTTACTGAAGTGGCTTCATTTTGAACAAACTATCATAATTAATTTATAACTAAATACTTTATAATCATGCAAGTATCGCTATTCAGCATTTGACTACGAATCGTCCTTGGGCTTAGGTCATAGATCATGTGATTTTCAATAAACCAAATATCTCTTGGTCTAGCTATGTGATTGAAATACGCGTGTATATAAAAGTGGAATTCTAAAAGGAAAATGGTGACATGTGCTGTACTTTAGACCCTTTAATCGCGAGAGAGAAATGGGGTTTAACGTCCACTCGACACATACTAGGTCATTTCGGTACTAACATATGGTTTAATTTTATTTCAGTAATTCGCTTGCGTGTAGGTGTCTTTAGCAGTGGGAGGAAACCGGAGGACCCGGTGAAGACCTACGAGGTTGGACAGGCGACCCTAATCCTTGTCACGTACAACAGGGGATTCGAAACCACGCCAGTTGACTCAATGACAGGCCTTATGATACAGCGCGCACGTGCTAATCATTCGGCCATCCAACCCCATTTGTTGCCAACAAGTTTATACGCGGTAACAGCTCTCTAAACGAAATCGCTGGAGTTATTTCCCATGTTACCAATTAATCGCTCACCCCGAAAAAATAAGCCAAACACAAATAAAAACAAAGCTAAACATAGAAACACAAAAGATCGTTTGAGCAATAATTGAGAAATGCATTGATGGTTCTTATTATGAGAAACCTTATGGCAAACAGGAATGTTACAAACTCTTTTAATAACACCGTTCTTAATGCCCCCGTCAGACCGGGTGGCGTCCTTACTGCGCTGCTGCGACCGTACAGCGACTAGAAAATGCACAAGGTCGCCGGCAAACGTAAACACAACGCGAGAAATTGTCCCCAAAAATTTACAAACTTGATAAAAGTCTCGTTCGTTACCCCGTCAGACCGGGGACGAGCCTTTACTGCGTTGCTACGGCGACGGAAAATGGCCCCAGAGCGCGTCAAGATCGCCATAAGCGTGGTAAAAGCGTGGTGGAAACGCTAGATATCACGCTGTGGTCTCGATGGTCGCAAAAGATCGCCGAGTCACATGTGAAAACGCAATTTTTTGTTCAAGTTTGTAATATTTTAGGACATTTTCGTACGTTGTGTTCACGTTTGCCGGCGACCTTGTGCATTTTCTGGTCGCCGTACGGTCTCTGCAGCGCAGTAAGGACGCCACCCCGGTCTGACTGGGGCATTACAACTTTCAAGGTTAGATCGCAAAGCCTTGGCGTTTGTTTTGAACATGCTTAAAACAAGCGCGGTGACTAGGCGATCATTCACGACCATGGATATCTGGCGTTTCCCACCACGCGTTTACCGCGTTTATGGCGTTCTTGACTCGCTCTGCGATGATTTTTCCGTCGCCGTAGCGTCGCAGTAATGACGCCACCCGGTCTGACGGGGGTATAAGAGATATAAGGTTTTGCGAAAAGACAAAAATGTGACTTAGATCATTCTTCCCCTGGATGACCTGGCGCCTGGTACGTTCGGGCATTTTTATGCGCGAACTCTTAGGGGTTTTTTTACTGGCATGCGCACAGGTACTATTTCTTTTTCTTTTAACAAGTACCCAAATCGGGGATTTCGTGCGGAGGTAGTTCGGAGGTAAACAGTCTGTGAAGTACAACACTTGCCACTGAACCTGTATATCGCTATTTATAAACCGAATGTGTGAAGACAGTTCATACATATCACTCAAAAATTTTTCAGTACAAACTCAGTTGATTCACGCTCGATTTGCTACTAAACAAACCCATCGGTTTATTTTCTCAACAGTGTGACCCGAAGTGACCGCGGATTTATTGAGCTTGTATGAACTTATCCATAGCTATATCCTTACACCGAGAGAAATTATCTAGTCTCGGTGAAAAGAACCATTGTCATCTGGTAGAAAATTACTTTTGTATTTTTTGGAACGGAAAACAGTGTTTTTAGAAGCAAACTAACCTGCCGCACATGAGGAATTCATTATACTAATAATAAAAGGCGAGACCTCTTTTTGCGGCGCAGGCTTATCACTGAGTAGTAAACCGTCCACAAACAATAATATAGGAAGCCTAGTGACAGTGTAGTAAGTAGGCTATAGACTATAGGTTTGAGTCGAGATTACTCGCTTTCAGTTTACTCTGTTTTTGCGATAACCAATTATGTGAGAAATACCATACTGACATTCGGTTTTTAAAAGTTGTACGCGAACTAAATGCGTTTGTTAGATACTGACAGAGCAGCCCCGAGTCGAACAATCGCCGCCCGAGCTGTCTTCGTCAGCTAGTTTCACAATATCGTGCAATAGGTGTATTAATGTGATTTTTAGGTTTAACCCCGCAAACAATGCCAAAATAGTGTTTTCACTGCTTACAGAAAACTGAAATTTAAAAAAAAAATTTTTTATGAGGGTGACCCTCATGTCTGGCACATACTGTCAACATTGTATATTTTTCCGTTTCCGCCCTTCCCCCCACAATATATATTTCACGGCTACGTTGCGACGGTACCAGCATACCCAGTTGTTGACACCCATTACATCACTCCTGTCTAACAAATCATAAAGCTGTGGTGTTACGGTGGCGGCATAGTATTTCACCGTAACACCACAGCCACTCTAACCATTCATAATACATCTAACTATCCCTTTACAGCACTTCACTCCCTACACATTTCCCCTCGTCCTACTTTCCCAAACGTCAACAACACATCTCATACATCCAGTTCGCTGATTAACCCTTGTACTACGTCTACTGGATTCTTCATGTACATTCACCTCACAAAAATATGGGCGTATAAAAACACTAAATACTTCAAGATTTAATGAGTTTTATGTAGATGATCAAAACAATATAAAGAAGAGCAGATCGTCTGTTACATAGCAACATGATAAAAAAAATATGAGAGAGAGAGAGAGAGAGAGAGAGAGAGAGAGAGACTAGTTCATTTCGGGACTAACATAATTTTAGCAATATTTCATGAATAAAAATATTAAACATACATTATGTAAGATTTAGATAAAGAGCTGACCATTCTTGCTAGCTCAAAATATAGATAATGTAAAATGAAAATATTGAAAATTTCATTCAAATTACTTCATTCTGAACCAAGTTATCACTGTTTGTAGTTTTGAGAAGATATGTGCATTGTGGTAACCAGGGAACTGGTGTATTCGAGACTTTTGAAATGGCGAACCGTTCTAATCTAGTTAAAATCTCGAGTATCCGATGCCATCGAGAGTTGATTATGGTCTTGTTTTGTTACTATATTATGTCTAATTAATAGTTTATATAACATCTGCAATAGGCTAGTTTAGCTCTTGCATAATGTATGTTTAAGTTTACAAATATTAATGATCCGTACTTTGAAATACCAAGAAGAGGTTTAAAGAGTTGAAATTGTAGTAAATAAATTGATCATAATTTACAACGTAATGTTTCCTTTTGTGGGAATATTAATGATCCGTACTTGCAAGAAAATGTTTCAAGAGTTGTAACTTAGTAATTATTTGACAATGTTAAATTCCTCCAAGATTCATTTGTCCTTTAGTGAGAATGTTTCTGCTTGCCGTCAACTTCCCCTTTGATGGGATTCTTCTTTACACCGTTAACTGCCCTCTTGTCGGGATGTTTCTTGTAAACGCCAACTGTCCTTTTGACGAATAGTTCCCCTTTAGTAGGGATCTTTCTAATGGCGTCTAAAGGGTATCCCTCGGCGTGACGCTTGTAGTAGATGATGTTGTTGGATTTGTGGTAGGTGATGTGGTAGGACTTATAGTAGGTGATGTTGTCGGACTTGTAATGGGTGATGTATTAGGGCTCGTAGTAGGTGACTGGTAGTAGGTGTAGTGATGTTGTTGCACTGGAAGCAGGTGATGTAGTAGGACTGGTAGTGGGGGATGTAATAGGACTTGTAGTTGGACACGTAGTAGGTGTTGTTATTGCACTGGTAGTAGGTGATATTGTAGGACTTGTAGTAGGCGGTATTGCTTTAATTGTTTTGTTATAAGACGTAGACGAAATTAACCATCTGAATAGATGCTACAAGAAGGATCGGGGTTTATATAATTGTAAATATCTATCAAGTTTGTGTATATTTCGTTGACAGTTGTCCTATCGTGGGGATATTTCTTGCTGCAGCTAACTGTCCTTTAGTCAGAATGTTGCTGCTGGCAGCCAGCTGTCCCTTAGTCGAGATATATCTGCTGGCAGCAAGCTGTTCTTTAGTCGGGATGCTTCTGCTGGCAGATAACTCACCTTTAGTCGCGATGTGCTTACGGGCGTCTAATTCTCCTTTAGTAGGGATATGCCTTGGAGTGACACTTGGTTTCGTGGTTGTTCTAGGGGCTTTGGTACGAATGCTCGTAGTAGGCGATGTTGTTGTCGGACTTGTAGTGGGTGATGTAGTTGGCGATGTTGTGGGTGATGTAGTAGGACTTGTGGTGGGTGATGTTGTTTGGCTTGTAATAGGTGATGTTGTTGGACTTGTAGTGGGTGATGTTGTTGGACTTGTAGTAGATGGTGTTGTAGGACTTGTAGTAGGAGATGTTGTCGGACTTGTAGTAGGTGATGTTGTAGGGCTTGTAGTAGGTGATGTTGTTACACTGGTAGTAGGTGATGTTGTAGGGCTTGTAGTGGGGGACGTTGTTGAACTTGTAGTGGGTGATGTTGTCGGACTGGTAGTAGGTGATGTTGTTGGACTGGTAATAGGTGATGTTGTTGGACTTGTAGTAGGTGATGTTGTAGGGCTCGTAGTAGGCGATGTTGTTGGACTTGTAGTAGGTGACGTTGTTGGACTTGTAGTAGGGGAAGTTGTCGGGCTGGGTGATGTAGTAGATGCTGTTGTAGGACTTGTCGTAGGTGATGTTGTTGGACTGGTAGTTGGTGATGTTATTGGACTGGTAGTAGGGGATGTTGTCGGACTTGTAGTAGGGGATGTTGTCGGACTGGGTGATGTAGTAGGTGATGTTGTAGGGATGGTAGTAGGTGATGTTGTAGGACTGGTAGTGGGTGATGTTTTGGGACTTGTAGTGGGTGATGTTGTTGGACTTGTAGTTGGTGAAGTTGTTGGACTGGTAGTAGGTGATGTTGTTGGACTGGTAGTAGGAGATGTCGTAGGACTTGTCGTGGGTGATGTTGTTGGACTTGCAGTAGGTGATGTTGTTGCACTGGTAGTAGGGAATGTTATCGGACTGGTAGTGGGTGATGTTGTTGGACTGGTAGTAGGGGATGCTGTAGGACTGGTAGTAGGTGATGATGTCGGACTGGTAGTGGGTGATGTAGTAGGTGATGATGTTGGACTGGTAGTTGGCGATGTAGTAGGACTCGTAGTTGGTGATGTTGTTGGACTTGTAGTAGGTGATGTTGTTGGACTGGTAGTAGGGGATGTTGTTGTCGGACTGGTAGTAGGTGATGTTGTCGGACTCGTAGTGGGTGGTGTAGCTGACGGAGTTGTGGTAGTCGAAGGGGCACAGGTACCACAACACTGGAGTCGTCTAGATGGATTTAAAAATGCACATAGAGCTGCAGCACATGTTACTGTAGGATCATCTAATTGTGGACATGTATCTAAAATAACAAATAAAATGTTTCTGCTGTATAAAGTGTGTAGGGGCAGGATTGAATACTTTGAGATATTAGGATTTAAATAATAATATAAAAAAGGTCTGCCCTAGTAACAAGACAATAGATTACATGAGTTACCTTTCTTGTCTTACGGAAGCCTTCAAAATAAAGTAAAAAAATGGAAAGGGATCTTTTACGTGCACGCCAATGTGTAAACCGGAACTACGTTTTTCGCCTCATCCTAACGACGTTATGTTGCCCCTTTTCAGGCCGTCGGTCCTGCACCACTGATATGGAGGAACCACGCCGAAAAGTCCCGATGAACTTTCTCGGCCAACACCGGGAGCGAACTCGCGACCTCCAGGATAGCGACCCTACTCCTTGTCACGCACATCCGGGTAATCGAAACTACGCCATTTGACTCAGTGACAGACCTTATGATACAACGCGCACCTGCTACCCATTCGGCCATCTAACCCCCCTGGTATTATAACAAGACTGTTGAAATGTGCCGCCAAACTTCTAACGTTTATTTACCTGAAGGTCTTGATGGAGCTTGACTGCTAGCAACACATCCATCTGCTACACACCACTGAAATATCCACAAAATAATGATGTCATTTTATATATAGAGAGAGACAAGGAAATCATTGAAATAAATGACCTAGTTTATATCGAGTGGACGTTTAAGCCTCTTTCTCTCTCCCCCCCCCCCTCTCTCTCTCTCTCGCTCTACGGAGTTGAACCGCATACGATAATATAGGCTATATACACATTTGCATTTTTCTCACCTTTCTATCACCACAGACCGTGAAGTTATTAAATGTTATTGAGCCGCTACATTGATCTGTAGCTGTATCTTGACAAATACCATTCATAGGCCCACACATTGCTGCAAAAAACGGCTCAGATGAATAGGCCAACTGAAGAAAAAGACAAAATAAATAACATTACTAATGGAGAAGATATAACCACCCTAGGAGGCATTAACATTATAGCAAAGAAGAAATATCTAATTTAAGCAACAAAAAAAAAATTAGGAAAATAACTTACCCGACAAAAGAATGACCCCGATCCAAAAACTGCACGACATTGGTCATCTGCGTCTGGAATATATTAGTGGAATAAAAAAGATTACTACGTCATAAAAGGTTTAAATTTATTAGTGGTTACACTATTTTACCGATACCGTTTTTTAGGACTTCGAATCTTGTCTAATGGTTTGGATTGTTCGTACTTGGTTTTATTTGATTATTAGTAATTACCGTGGTATGTCGTTACTCATGTGAAAGCGAAATTGCATATTTTTTATGAAAATCAAAACGTAATTATTTCTATATCTATTACTTAATAGGTTTTCAATTATACAACCATAGAAATCATTAAGCACTTAAAAAAACATTCTTATAACAATTTAAAATAATTTCTACTCGCTAACCCTATTTAGAATGTGTATCACGGTGGCTAAGTGGGTAAGACGCTGGCTCGCTAGTCTGGAGGTCGGGTGTTCGATCCCTGCATTGGCCGAGAAAGTTCATCCAGATTTTCCGGCCTGGTTCCCTTCTTGCCAGTGATGCAGGACGGAGGACCTGACAAGGGCAGCTGTTTAGTCGATCGGATGGTACGAAAAATCGAGGGTTCGTGTACACATTGGTGTGCACGTAAAAGAAAGCATTTGGACTTCAGAAAGTTCTTGAAAAAATTATTCGTAACTGGCGAGTGAATTTGAATAATGTTTGCAAGAACTGTCCGGGCTAAATTTCCTTCATAGCACATTGTATGACGCATGCCCATCTTCATAAGGCTAGTTGGAGCAGGGCATTAGGACGTTAAACCCCATTTCATTTCATATCGCTAATTAATAAAACTAACAAAAATTAATATTTACAATAGCAGTCAAAACATGTCGTTATCAGTTACTGCGAGTCTACAGCATAAATATTATGAATAGTAAAACTAATATATTATAACGTTCAGTTTACAATGTTTTCTAGTAAACGATAATAACAAATAGTATTACTAAATTATTAAAAATACTACGATTATTAAATATTTTCTTGTACATAATAATAACACATATTATTAATAAATATTAATAACAATAAAAACACTACGATTATTAAATGTTTACTGTAAATAATAATAACAAAATGTATTAATAAATAATAACAATACACTCACTACAATTAGTAAATGTTTTCTAGTAAAAAATATTAACACATATTATTAATAGATAATTATAACAATAAAAATACCACGAGTATTAAAAGTTTACTGTAAAAAAACAATAACAAATATTATTAATAAATAATAATAACAATAGAAATACTACGAGTATTAAATGTTTACTAGTAAATAATAACAATAAAAATACTACGAGTATTAAATGTTTACTAGTAAATAATAACAATAAAAATATAACGAATATAAATGTTTACCGTAAATAACAAACGGTATTAATAAATAATAACAACAATAAATAAATAATAACGTCCATTTTACAATTTATGTTATAATACAATCTTAACAAAAAATAATAATAAATAATATAACGTTTATTTTACTAATAAATGTTTTTATTTTCCACCTTTTATTGAAACAGAAAAATAAACAAATACTATGATTAAATAATAATAATAACAATAAAAATACTACGATTATTAAATGTTTTTTAGTAAACAATAATAATAAGAAATACTATTAACAAATAATAATAACAATAAATACTACGATTATTAAATGTTTTCTAGTAAATAATAGTAACAAATATATAATAAGATTAAAATACTATGATTATGAAATGTTTTCTAGAAATAAAAATAACAAATATTAATAAATAATAATAACAATATAGATACTACGATTATTAAATGTTTACTCGTAAATATTAATAACAAATATTATTACTAAATAATAATAACAATAAAAATACTACGATTATTAAATGTTTTCTTGTAAATAAGAATAACAAATATTATTAATATGTAATAATAACAATAAAAATCCCATAGCGTTTTATTTTCAATTGATGCTAATAAATAATATTAAATAATACAACGTTTATTTCACAAAAAATGTTAATACATGGTTTTACTTACCCCCGTTTATTGATACAGCATGATAAACAAAAACTCCAAGAACTTGAACAATCAACAAACTCATTTTTATGACAGCTGGATTAATATTTTAATTAAAGTATAAGGACACAAATCAAGGCTATGTTGGCTTATTTTTCAAAAACACCTATTAAAAATTGTGTGTTTCTAAAAAAATAATTCCGAAAAGAAGCAAAGATTAGGTTCTGCAAAAGAAATTTTGCAATTGTGTCTAGCCAATTTTGGATTGATGATACTCCCTCAGAGTCCTAAAAAATTATCTCTCCTTTTGAAGTCTATCGGCCGCTTTTAAATTCTTTGATGTCCTGTCGTACCAGAACAGTATGACATTAAACCCCATTTCATTTGATTTGATTTCTTTTATGTCTTTTCAACGTTTTGGTCGGTTATTATTCAATTTTATTTTTGATTTCGAATCACAATTTATCAATAAAATGAATGTTACACGGGTCAAGAATGAACTGATGGGTCGGGAAAATACATACAAACACTTCATTCAAATCTTTATCAATTTACATAAAGCCTGCCTTAACGGGAAGCTCCTCCCCCTTGATAACCTATCCTCTTCCTACAATAAAGCCCACCTGACACTACTCTAGTTTTGTTGCCTCTGTGGATGAACAGCTTCAGACTCTGAGTGTTAAAACATTCCGGGCACCATTCCTTATGCTAGGTCTCCACTATCACGAATCGTGGGAATTCTATCAGGTCTTATCATATATTGGTGTCAGTCAAAGTAAATGTGTTGATCGTATCGAAACGTATCCGAACGTATCTGCATGTACCAGCCCGTGGACTCAATAGGGACAACCCCATCGTAACGCATCGCACCATAGAGAGAGAGAGAGAGAGGGGGGGGGGGAAGGGAGAGAGAGAGGGGGCGGGGGTAACGCCTACTCCACACAAACTAGTTTACTTGCCGTTTACTTCCTTTCTTCCACGATGAAAGTCGCAGGATGCGCCCACTGATTTTTCGGGGATGGATGTATTTGTTTATCTAACCTTGTGGATGTTTGTCTTCCTTCTTGATTGTGCTTAGTGCAAATTTCATAGTTTCCAGATGACGGATGGCTGCGGCTTAGTCGTCCGTTTGGGATGATGTAACAAAATGACTGTTGGGTGTACTATAGTCGTGGGTTTGGTTGGTGTAACAAAATGGCGGTTGGGTATAACTTAGTCGCCCGTTAGATTGATGTGACAAGCCGTATATGTGGGGGTTGGGTGTATAGTATTCGTCTGTTTGATGGGTGTAGCAAAATGGCGGTTGTGTGTACTCTAGGCATGAGTTTGGTGGATGTAAGAAAATGGCGGTTGGGTGTATACTCTAGCCGTGTGTTTGGCGGGTGTAACAAAATGGCGGTTGTGTGTACTTTAGGCGTAAGTTTGGTGGGTGTAATAACATGGCGGTTGGGTGTGTACTCTAGCCGTGTGTTTGGTGGGTGTAACGAAATGGCGGTTGAGTGTACTCTAGGCATGAGTTTGGTGGGTGTAATAACATGGCGGGTGGCGTGTTTGGTGGGTGTAGCAAGTCGAATATGGTGGTTTGGTGTATATGGGTCGTCTGGTTGGTGGGTGTAACACAATGGCGGTAATGTGTACTCTAGGCGTGAGTTTGGTGGGTTTACCAAAATGGCTGTTAAGTGTATACTCTAGTCGTGAGTTTGGTTGGTGTAACAAAATGGCGGTTGGGTACGCCTTTTGTCGCCTGGTGAATTGACGTAACAAGCTGTCTATGGTGGTTGCGTGTATATTGGTCGTGAATTTGGTGGGCGTAACAAAATGGCGCTTAGTGCACCTTTTGTCGACTGGTAGATGATGTAACAAGCCGTCTATGATGGTTGGGTGTGTATCGGTCGTTAGTTTGGTTGATGTAACAACATGGCGGTGGTTGCACTCTAGTCAACTCTTTGCTGGATATAACAAGCCGTATATGAAGCCGTATATGGCGAAATGTCTAAGTGCTGTCAAACTACACACAGCAAAAAATGAATCGTGCCAAAAAGCACATGGGTCTAAAAAATATTAAAAGTCGATTAATCCTAATCCTTATAAAGAACATTCACTTTTTGAGAAGTTTAAATATATTCATTGGCCATCTGTGGTATTATAAATGATCGTTTGATTTATCGTGTGTATGACCTTAAATGATATATTAATCATCAATCACAAAATCAATAATCTTCCAAAAGATTAAGGTCAGGAGAATGGGTGTGCTTTCATAAATTTGAGGAGCCGGGGGTCCAAGGTGGAGTCATGTTTGGCGTGAGGTCGGGGTGTATTACCCGAGAATCTTATAAAACCAGAAGCTCTGAGACAATATTTCTGCTTATTTAAGCCCCCGTCAGATCGTGTGTTCGACGTTATTGCGACGAATGTAGGACACTCCCACCATGGCCCCACCATCTAAACATCCACTTGGAGAACCCTAGCGTAGACATAAGCTACTTAACTGCTGCAATGACCCACCTTATAAAACGCACATAAAATGCAAATAAAATCCACATAAAATTCACATATTAACAAAGGAGATGCATCCATCAATGGTTATCTATGAACTTGACGCTTTCAAAGAACCGAATTTTAAATATCTACTGCCATTCTAATGATAATGGACACGATGTTGATCAAAGCATGTGCCCAAATTTATATCCCATAAATAGCAGTTTGTTACAAAGAAAAGTTTATGGAAGAGAATTTAATAGAACTAACGCGTTTATAATGATATGAAGATTTGTTTGCTTTCAACAAAAATAGCTAATTCGGTCAGATTATCTGGGTGATGGAGATATTTGTCGACTGGGTATAATTCGAACCAGTCTGATTAAAATACAAATCTATATTGTTACGGCAATAATCCACTTTTTGTCATTTATATCATCCATTCTTTCGAACGGGTCCTGGTCCAGAATTTAGCTATTAATTAGTCCTAGTCAATTTTTGGGATAGTTGTGTAACCACATGTTTGTTGATAACCGCCATGTTTTTCTGTTAAGATGTTTAACGTTGATTGTTTTATCGTTTCGTTAATTACGAGACTGTATTATTTTTACAGTCCCCACAAGCTGTAAGTAACATTATTATTGAATTTAATGTCCATTTATGATATCTAAAGCAAACGTAGATTATGCCTAAACGTTTATTTACCTGTATATCAAACTTAAAGTTATTTTTCTTTTCGTTGTAGCAAAACCTGTCAGTTACTCTGATTACTGTCAGTTACTGTCAGTTACTATGGTTACTGTCTGTCTGTTACTACCGTTAGTACTGTTGCTGTTGTAACCAAAAGTAAAGTTCCACATGTACTGATGTAGATTTTCTTTCTATAACGTCCTAAAGTTAACGTCATGAATCGTATAAAAAGAATTGTCGACATATCGTAAACGTTCAAGTGATACTGTAAAGTAAACGTAAAAGAATAAAGTATCGGTAACGACAGTGTATTAAAGAAGCTTGTGTATTTATTGTTAAACGACTCCTATAATGGCTTTGGTCATTATATATATTTCGTTTCGTCTTTTATACATAAAGATTTGACAATTAGTTGTGTGACCTCATGGTCAGTTGATTGGGCTTTAGATCATAGGTATGTCATTGAATCAAGTGGCATGGATTCGATTCCCAGCATGGATTCTATTCCCAGCTTGCATATGTGACAAGGAGTAATTAGACATTAATTTACTGATCTAGGCCATAATCAACTCTCGATGTCATCGTTAGCCTGCGATCTTTAGTGGATTTGAATACATTTTGTGATGGATAATTTAACGTTAAGTGGATAATCGAGACTTTTTTTTATTATAGAACCGACCTTAGTAATGATGATCGAAGCTAGCCGAAAATTGAATCGTTAATATCTTGGTTCAGAGTGACGCCATTTGACTGAAATATTCAGCATATTCTCTTAACATTATCTATATTTTAACTGTTATAGTGTGAACTGTTAGCTCTTTATCTATTCTTACGTAATGCCCCTTTAAGGTTTATTTTTCATTTTATAGTTTTTAGTCGCACCATATCTTTTGTATAATATTTGACTATGTAATATGTATATCGTGCGCCCACAATTACTTGTAGGATTGCAAGTACACTCCGACTTTAACACGTTTGAGAACCACGGGTCTAGGTGATGGCGATGTGTCCCGAATTGAAGATAATCTCCGGGCCAAAGGAATGCCATTATTACGAAACCTACGATAGCGCAATATGCAAATAATTTCGTCCAATCATACACTTCGTTTTGCTGTCTTCTAAATTGTTGTAATAAGAATATGGCTAGAGTATCCGATCTTTAACATTGCACAATACTAGATCTTTGTACGATCTGGAAAATATCTTTTTCTAGGGTTAAGGTTAGGGTTCGGGTTAGGTTTACAAATTACATGTCAAACGTACAAATTGAAGCTGTAAAACGCTGGATTGCGGGTAAAACTATTCTGAAGGGTTAGGGTTAGAATTGTGGGTATAAACACAAAAAGATATTTTCTAGTATCGTGCTTTAACATTATCATGAATATAAACACGTATCGTGACGACGAATTAGGATTATTAAAAAAAAACATATATATGGTTCTTCAAGAGGGAAATATTACAATACAAAAATTAAGAGTTTTGGATATTGAATTGGTAATGTAAATGGATTTTCTGATATGGCAATTCTTAAAATTAATTTCATATAAGTACTCATACTAGCAATTATTTGCCAATTGACTTCAATGTTAAATGGCTGTAAAATCACGGGTTATAGCTCTTTGCTCAACATTCCGTTGGTTCCAATCTTTATATGCACATAGGGGAGCGCATTTGGCAATCTCCTTATCATAATTTTGTAGGGGGTTGACCGTTTAGATATTTTTGCCACGAGGTGGCTCTGATTGCTCTGCAGAAAGACACATTACACCCAATATCCCTCTGCTGTAATATCATTAGTATTACCCAAAACTGCAATGAAATTGCAAATTTGATCCCTTTTCTCCAATTCTAGATCAAAACGTCAACTAAAAACTGCAGGAAGAAGGGAGAAAAAGAATTAAAGGACAAATTGTCTATTTATAACTCGTACTACATTCGTAAATTAATGGGAAATTACTAGCCTTAGTCCATAGGGGTCCCGGTCATCAAGAAACTCATAGTCTTCAACATGGTGAACCATGATTTTGCATGAGGAACAAGATCCTGCCCGGGCCCCCCAATATTTATATCTGTGTAGGGGGGGGGGGGGCCTGCCAGTGCCACTGGGTAATATTGGGCTGTGTGGAATATGCTAGGGTCGATTTGTAGCATATCTGACCCACGGTATATGCTTGATACGGGTTAAGCATTATAATGTTGAAAACCGCATTGAAACCGAGTGAATTTTGCCATTTTGCGAGGGGGCGCAAAAACTCAAGGCGGCGGAAAAGAGAGAGAGAGAGATAAATGGGGTTTAACGTCCACTCGACACAAACTAGGTCATTTCGGTACTAACATACGGTTTAATTTTATTTACATAAATTCGCTTGAGCGTAGGGGTCTTTAGCAGTGGGAGGAAACCGGAGGACCCGGAGAAAACCCATGAGGCTGGACAGGCGACCCTACTCCTTGTCACGTACAACCGGGGATTCGAAACCACGCCAGTCGACTCAATGACAGACTTTATGATACGACGCGCGCACGCTAACCATTCAGCCACCCCCCCCCCCCCAAAAAAAGGCGGAAAAACTCAAAACCATGACACTGAAAGCGCGTCATTGTGTCCCTCTCACTTACTCCCCTTGTCGACAACAGCACGTGTTCCCAAACGGTCAAACCTCCAAGTACTAACCTTATACTAGGTTCCCACTATCACCATTCATGCGCTAGTTATGCTTACTGAGCATATCAGACAAAAAGGCGTCTACAGCGCCCTGTGTTCACAGGCGGTCACCCATCCAAGTACTAACCGGGCCCGAAGCTGCTTAACTTCAGTGATTGGACGAGAACTGGCCCCGATTTCACAAAACAGTCTCAGGCTTAAGTTAAGAATGTACTCAAAATTGTTCGCATTATTTTAACTAAATTATTATAGCCCTTTATAATAATTTGTTTTAATCATCAATAAGAAACTATGTGCACATTTTTTGTGTTTAGTAAATTTTAATTAAATCCTGAGATTGTTTTGTGAACTCGGGGCCTGGTGTTCTGGACGTGGTATGGCCACAGACAAAAGCAAAAGCAACAAAGAAAAATATCACAGAACATCTAGTAGTTATCCTTTATTTTGAATTCAGATAGATCAGTAAAATAACATACGGATAAGTCGAAAAATGATATAAAAACAAAAATATAAAAACAAAAATAAACAGAATATAATGATATACGGATATGTCGGACCTACTTTATTTCGAATTCAGATTGACCATTAAAATAACATACGGATAAGTCGAAAACAAATGAACAGAATATAATGATATATGGATATGTCGAACCTACTCTATGTCGAATTCAGATTGATCTGTAAAATAACATACGGATAAGTCGAAACATGATATACAAAACAAAAGAATAAAACAAAAATGAACAGAATATAATAATATACGGATATTATTACCTACATGTAGTTGTTATCAAATGAAATGAAATATATACTTTGAATATACTTATACTGTTGATATTCGAACTGTGGTTTAATGGTCGAGTGCGAGACATTAAGTAATATTATATTGATATTGCACGAGTGCGCAAACACGAGGGCTATATCTATATATTACGCAATGTCTTGCACGAGACACTTAACCAACTTAAAATACAGACACTATCCAGCACGTGCATTTCAATTAAATTCGTCATGCGAGTCCAATATATCAAATAGTATAGATAATATGCGCTTGGGACATTGCCTGTACCATTCTTTGAAATAATGGTACGCCAACATCAAAGGATGACGTCACATATTATTTTAATTGAGTAATACACAAAGTAATACATAGAATATACACGAATCTATAATGCTGAATTGAACAAATTGAATATAGTTTTCACTGCATAATTGTGTGTGTGGGGTGGGTGGGGGGGCATACGAATGGAAAGTAAGAAATTTCAAAACATTTATATACTGCTTTAATTTTGGAATAAAATCTCACAGGTTTTAAATTTGACAGCAGGGATAAGGGATGCCATATCAAAATCTTACCAATTGGTCTTAGTTTGGGTACTGCTAAATTTGGCGTTGCTTTAAAGAAAAAAAAAGACGTAGACGAAATTGACCATCTGAACAGATGCTACTAGAAGTATTGGGTTTTATATGATCGTACATATTTACCACGTTTGTGTATATTTCGTTGACAATTGCCCTTTGGTGGGGATATTTCTGGGGATGCTTCTGCCGGCAGCCAGCTGTCCTTTTGTCGGGATGTTTCCCCTGGCAGCCAGCTGTCCTTTTGTCGGGATGTTTCCCCTGGCAGCTAATTCACCTTTAGTCGGGATGTGCTTGCGGGCGTTTAATTCTCCTTTAGTAGGGATATGTCTTGGAGTGACACTTGGTTTCGTGGTTGTTCTAGGGGCTTTTGTACGAATGCTCGTAATAGGTGATGTTGTTGTCGGACCTGTAGTGGGTGATGTTGTTGGCGATGTTGTGGGTGATGTAGAAGGTGATGTTGCTGGACTTGTGGAAGGTGATGTTGTACGTGATGTCGTTGGGCTTGTCGTGGGCGATGTTGTTTGTGATGTAGTAGGACTTGTAGTTTGTGATGTAGTAGGACTTGTAGTGGGTGATGTTGCTGGACTGGTAGCAGGAGATGTTGTAGGACTGGTAGTGGGTGATGTTGTAGGACTTGTAGTTGGTGATGTAGTAGGAGTTGTAGTAGGTGATGTTGTCGGGCTTGTAGTGGGTGATGTTGTTGGCGATGTTGTGGGTGATGTTGTAGGACTTGTGGTGAGTGATGTTGTTGGACTTGTGGTAGATGATGTTGTACCGTATGTCGTTGGGTTTGTCGTGGGCGATGTTGTTGGACTTGTAGTTGGTGATGTAGTAGGACTCGTAGTTTGTGATGTAGTAGGACTTGTAGTTTGTGATGTAGTAGGACTCGTAGTTTGTGATGTAGTAGGACTTGTAGTTTGTGATGTAGTAGGACTTGTAGTGGGTGATGTTGTAGGACTGGTAGTGGGTGATGTTGTAGGACTTGTAGTTGGTGATGTAGTAGGACTAGTAGTAGGTGATGTTGTAGCACTTGTAGTGGGTGGTGTTGTCGGACTTGTAGTTGGGGATGTTGTCGGGCTTGTAGTTGGTGATGTTGTTGGACTTGTAGTAGGTGATGTTGTAGGACTGGTAGTGGGTGATGTTGTAGGACTTGTAGTTGGTGATGTAGTAGGACTGGTAGTGGGTGATGTTGTAGGACTTGTAGTTGGTGATGTAGTAGGACTAGTAGTAGGTGATGTTGTAGCACTTGTAGTGGGTGATGTTGTCGGACTTGTAGTTGGGGATGTTGTCGGGCTTGTAGTTGGTGATGTTGTTGGACTTGTAGTAGGTGATGTTGTAGGACTGGTAGTGGGTGATGTTGTAGGACTTGTAGTTGGTGATGTAGTATGACTAGTAGTAGGTGATGTTGTAGCACTTGTAGTGGGTGATGTTGTAGCACTTGTAGTTGGGGATGTTGTCGGGCTTGTAGTTGGTGATGTTGTTGGACTTGTAGTAGGTGATGTTGTAGGACTTGTAGTAGGTGATGTTGTAGGACTTGTAGTTGGTGATGGTGTTGGACTATCGGCAGGGGAAATAGACGGTGACGCACTCAACGACGTGAAGTCGGATATACTTGGCGACGAAACCTCGGATGTACTATGTGAAAATGTGGTTGATGTGGTTGATATGGTCGTTGGTTTTATTCGTGGTGTATCCTTACATGTTGCACAGCAATCCATCACACGATTTAGTGGATATGTTCCACAACTTTGAGGACTACAAGTTTCACCGTGTTTGTTTCCTTGTGGACAATCGACTGAAAGAAAAACATATTATATTAGTTTTTTTTCTATTTATACTTCCATTAAAAAGATCAGTACTACGGTAAACCGGTAATAATGTAAAAAATTCGCTAGTATCTAATTTATCATTCTCGGTGTACTTGTGGGTTTCGCGTACGAGATATGATATGGGTAACCTCAGGGAAGTCTTAGCTTATTGGCATGCTGGACACACAAGGATCTGGTCCCCACGCTGGCCTATGTATGATGTGACTTGCTGCATTGTTTTAATGGTTAAACGCTAATAGGAGGGTGGAGTGGTCGAATGGTTAACGCGTGCGCGCTGGGTCAGAAGGTCCTTCATTGAGTCAAGTGGCGTGGTTTTGATTCACCGCTTGTAGCCGACACGGAGTAGGTCGCCTGCCCAACCTTGTGGGGGCTTTTTTTCGGGTCCCCGTTTCCTCCCACTGCTAACGACCCCTGCGTTCAAGCGAATTATTTAAATAAAATTGAACAATATGTTAGTCCCGAAATGAACTAGTTTGTGTCGACCATTTACATTTTTATTCCTGTGAGTGGTTTTGTAGGTGGGGGCCCGTGTGCACTGCTTTTGGCTTGAGTCCTATAAAGCCTTTTACCCTTTCATGGACATCATATCGTGTCTCACATATACTCGATTTTGACGGCTTCGTCCACAGGACAGTGTGTTTTAATACTGGTTAGTATAGGTGTCTGTAAGAAAAGGGGTCTTACCAGCTGGGGTTGTTGGTGCTGATGGGTTGCTAATACACTTGCCTTTAAAACACCACTGTAACATGAAATTAATCAAATTCGTTATTAAATAGAGGGAGGGGATAACTTAGACAAATAAATGTCTTGGCCCGTCTCTATCTCTGAGTACAGTTCTGTGTGATGCGTGACGTAACGTTGGTTTAACAATGTAAACTTCTCAAACAAACTGGAAATGGAACCTGCTGTTCTAAATTCAATTCCCCGGTTGTTCGTGACAAGGAGTAGGGTCGCCTGTCCAACCTCGTCGGTTTTCTCTGGGTCCTCCGTTTACCTCCCACTGCTAAAAACCCCTACGCGCAAGCGAATTATGGAAATAAAATTGAACCATTGGTTAGTCCCAAAATGACCTAGTTTGTGTCGAATGGACATTAATCTCTGTATGGTTTATGTCCGTCATTATTAGACCAGTCAACGCAGAAAAGTGGGACGCTAACCCCATTTCAATTTCATTTCAGTACTGACACTTGTTACTTTGAAGGCGGTAATCCTCCCCTCACCGCGTCTCTAAAGCAGAGTTTTCTCAACTTATATTCCAACACCACATACGACCCACTTGGTATGACGATTCTTGTCATTGTGATAAAACAGATTGATGAAAACTAATTATTTAACTATTTTCTTCTAAATAAAATACATTTTGGTGATACTTATCAGATAATACAGAGTGTAGAAATGTTTCATAGGACATGGTAGCCACGAAGGCTCAGCGAGGAAGATGTTGGCTTGTCGACCTGGAAGTCTCCTGTTCGATCCTTGTGTTGACCGAGGCAAGTCATCATTATTTCCCGGGTTGCAGGATGTGGCATGAAAGTTAAAGAACCTCTGACAGTTCGAATTCCATATACGAGAAAGCCATAGTGCCACTATCTGGGCAAAATGTCCCTCAAAATACACTGTATGGCGTATAACCAGTCAGTGCAGAGCAGTAGAACGTTAAACCAAAAATGAATTTAATAGTGTTACCTTTCTGTTACCACATGTAGTGAATTCAGTGAAGACAATGGCAGTGCAGGCGTATATGACGGGATTATAACAATACCCTTGATAACACATCTTATCGAAGTTCATTTCATTCATGTAGGATCCCTGTAACCAATATACATATGATTTATCGACAGGAGGATTTACCCAATACTACCCAATACTAACTAAATACTAACTGAATACTACCCAATACAACCCAATACTAACTAAATACTAACAAATACTACCCAATACCACCCAATACCACATAAAACCACCCAATACTAACTAAATACGGCCACATACTGCCTCATAAATGTGAAAAAATTATCTGAATATTTGAATTATACAAGGATAAATTGAAATATTTCGTGGAATTACTGGGTAAATTGTCCTGTCCTTAATTTATTGATAATTTTATGGCCTGTGTCAGCAGATTGCGCAATCCCATACTATATATGCGATATTGCATTTACGTCGATATGTAATACGCTTTATATCGCCAAATGAACAGTTCCCGGGTTCACCAAGCATTCTCAGATGTTATTCAACTTTCAATCACTGTTTATGAGAAATATCTTTGATCCAGAAACACAAAACTTTGTACACAGTTTCTTATTGATGTATTTGATACGTTAAAACAACAAAAATTTCACAAAGGGCTATATTTTAGATAAGGCGATTAATTTTGAGTAAATTCTTAACTTAAATCTGAGAATGCTTTGTGAATTCGGGCCAGTCTGGTTTTGTACTGTCAGTGGTGCAGGACGACGAATCTTGAAGGGTCCGCAATTTCTCTGGAGGCGGGTAGGGTTATCTTGAGGGCACATAATCTCCCAGGATTGTACCGGTTTCGTTTAATCCGCCTCGATTTCAGTCCACTAAAGAGATCACTGCCACAATTTTCCCAGGGTTTTGGGCCTTACATAACAGGATACAGTGACTTTAATAGACATTATAGCTCTGAGGGTCTGAAATGGTAGATATGTGCTAACACTTGAGACCCCGTTCCATCGATTCTACTGATCTTCAGTTTAAATTGCTATATGTACTTACCCTACAGAAATAAGACAATTCGCCAAATTCCAAACGGCACTGTGCATCGGCATCAAGCAATTGACCAGGTATTTGTACCCCAAAAACGCTGTCACCGCTGTATCTGTTTTCTCGAGTACACAATATAGGACTTCTACATATCAATAATAAAAATGAACAATATAAAATGTACATAGACTTTCTTTTAATTACATTGAGCGAAATCGGGTTGATGACGAAACACATCCTTATTGTTACAAATGTTCGCTATATTAGAGAGTGAGGGGGGGGGGGTGTAGTTGGGTTTAAAGTCCATTCGACACAAACTAGGTCATTCCGGGATATGGTTCAATTTTATGTCATAAATTCACTTGCACGTAGGGGTCTTTAGCAGTGGGGGGGGGGGGCGGAAAAACCCCTCGAGGTTGGACAAGCGGGGAATCGAAATTATACCACTTGACTCCATAAAAGATCTTATACCGCTATATTAAATGGGTGCGTCTCTAATTAAAAGGGGGGGGGGGTCACGGTGGCTAAGTGGGTAAGACGATGGCTCGCTAGCCTGGAGGTCTCGTGTTCGATCCCTGCATTGGCCGAGAAAGTTCATCGTGATTTCCCGACTTGGTTTCCGCTTGTCAGTGATGTAGGGCGGAGGGTCTGACAAGTACAGCTGACTAGTCATTCGGATGATATAGAAAACCGAGGTTCCGTGTGTACATTGGCGGAATGTAAAAAATCCCTTGGAAGCTGGAAATCGATATAAGAGTAAGCTATCGTGCCGCTGCCTGGGCAAAATTCTCCTTATAGCACACTGTATGGCGTATCCCCGACAATAAGTCGTTAAACCACATTTCATTTCATTTCATTTATAAAACAAGACTTATTGTATGCCAGGTTGATTTGTGCTCACCACTAGCTTCCTCTGTCGTCATAATGTTCAGGTTAGATGAATTTGGAGAGATGTTTTTTGACAAATGTTTTGCAAGATTTGTTTTTGGAAATTTGTTGTTCGAGATTTATTTTTCGTTGTAAATGTAATTTTTTTTGATTTTCTAAAATAAATTTGATCTTTACATTAAAATAAATTTGATCTTTACATTGGTATTTATATTAAAATAAATTTTGTCTTTATATTAAAATAAATTTTTATCTTTATATTAAAATAAATTTTTATCTTTATATTAAAATAGATTTTTATCTTTATATTAAAAAAAATGTTATCTTTTGACATTTGACAAATCTGATGAAAAATGTCTGATTTGTAAAACAAATATTGATTTAAGGATACAAAAGTAAATTATAAGATACAAAAGTAAATTATAAGATACAAATGTAAATTATAAGATACAAAAGTAAATTATAAGATACAAATGTAAGTTATAAGATACAAATGTAAGTTATAAGATACAAATGTAAATTATAAGATATAACTGTCAATTTTAAGATACAAATGTCGAAACACAACAACATTTATGAAGAATTAAGAACATTGAATGGAGAGCTGTTTGGTATTCCATAGGCGAGAAATATAAACATATTTTGATTTTGTGTATATTGATCAGGTACTTTCAATTCCAAATTTCACGTTACGTTTGATCAGGCCGAATATAAAATTCGCAATAAACCTGTCAAAAGTTAACAAAATGAGAATTTAAACGAAAACGATATGTATTTACCCGAACAAGAATCTTTTCATTGCGTTAATGGAACAGGACGAAAATCCGTAACTTCTTTGAGCATCTAATTGGTTTGCAGTTGGTATTTCCATATAGCGAGTCATGACGTAATTTTCATTAGTACAAGTTACACCAGCTTCTCCGTCATACGTTGCACCAATGCTGAGGGCATATAAAAAAAAGATAACAATGCTCCGGGATGAGTATAACTGTTCGGGAATGATAAAGTCAATGAGTATAAATGTTCTAGAATTATAGGGTCAATGAGCATAACTGTTCCAGAATGATAAAGTCAATGAGTATAAATGTTCTAGAATGATAAGTTCAATGAGTATAACTGTTCCAGACTGATTGTATAATTGTATAACTTTATAACTTCTCCGGAATAAGGTCATTGGTATTGCATAAGAATGATAAAAGAATGATAAGGTCAATCAACGAGTCTTAACTGTCACGGAATGATAAGGTCATTGGTACTGCATAAGAATGATAAGGTCAATCAGCGAGTCTTAACTGTCACGGAATGATAAGGTCATTGGTATTGCATAAAAATGATAAGGCCAATCAATGAGTCTTAACTGTCACGGAATGATAAGGTCATTGGTATTGCATAAGAATGATAAGGCCAATCAATGAGTCTTAACTGTCACGGAATGATGAGATCAGTGTATAGCTGCTCCAGAATGATAAAGTCAATGGTATTGCAGGAGAATGATAAAGTCAATGAGTTTTGTAGATAATTATTGCCTAAGAAGTGCGTAATGCATGATCATGGTAAGGTCGGTGAGGGCTGCTACCCTAGCATGGTAAGATGTACGAGGACTGTTAACCAATGGGTATCGCACGGGAATGATAACGACAATGACTATATCGACCTAGAAATGGCTTGTTAAATGATATTGATATTCATGAAATGGAAGGGTGAAACGATTTACTTACACATAACCAATTTGCTGAGCAGCAGCATGTCCAGTAATATAAGCTGATATGTGATTCTCAACGATGGATACAGATTTGATATTCGGCTTTGTTACTTGACACAAACCTTTGAAATAAGATTGACCTATACAACGTACATCTCCATTCAGAGTCAAGTCGTACCTAGATGAAATTATAACAAGCAATTAAACAAACGCTATTAGACGCTTCGCAGACCATCCCATGCCAATTTGCTATATTAGGGGTTAAGGGAAGGGGCTCATATAGCTTTTGGTGTCCACCACAATGCAGAAATCATGTAGATGAAATGGAGGTTTCAAAGTTATTGACACGCAACTGCCATATCTGTTCTGGCAGATAACTTAACTTAAGGTCACTATATTGCAATCCTTTGCCCACAACAGAGTTGTTTCCCTTGGTATATTCGGATAAAAGGAGAGACGGAGCGCCAGAGAAAGATGGAGCGAGAGAATTTTTGTATATCTCCAGCCCACTTGATGTAAAAAATTTAGCTCATGTGGCCCTTGAATTGAAATGAGTTTGCCACCCTTGGGTTAGATGATTATACTTATTGACTCATAATATTTGCAGCAATTCAACAAAATTTTACAAGTCGTTTTCTGAAATCTTGTTGAAAGGTTGCAGTTTGATAAACATAGTGACTCAACCGAATGTTCTTCTCAACCTATGCTGCGATTTGAACCTTTCTAGTCCAGTGACCAGGGCTCGGGTGACCTGTTCACACATCTATCGTAACTATCGAGAGAGAGAGAGAGAGAGAGAGAGAGAGAGAGAGAGGACCAATAGTGATACTCACCCAGTGAAGAACATATAGTGATCGGTAGGTCTGAAGGTATAATTACCGACTGGATATCCAAGCCAATCAGAACATTTAGTTAAAGATGTGTCCGCATCAACCTGGCCTTTAGTAGTTTTAATCGTCTCTGTAAAGGTACAATGTGTGCGATCCTGAAAGATACCCAGTAAAGATGTTAATATGTCGTGGGTGGTTGGGTTATCGAGATGGCGACCGTATGTGCTTTAGACAACAGGGTCCTAGGCTGTCTGTCAACCATTCAGGGTTCAGATACCAAGCTTGAGTAACCTCGTGGGTTTTCTCCGGGTCCTCCGGTTTCCTCCCACTGCTAAAGACACCTACGCGCAAGCGAATTATTGAAATAAAATTGAACCAGGTGTTAGTCCCGAAATGACCTAGTTTGTGTCGACTGGACGTTAAACCCATTTCTCTCTCCAAGCTTGAGTGTGGCAAGGAATTTCTGATCGATTCCCGTGGGTTGTCTCCCTTAATTCGATTGACTCTAGTCCAAGCCGGGTATTATCTACCATTGACATTTTGGTTTCCTTTTCTTAAAGATGCATTATATAAGATTTAGATAAAGAGTAATAAAAAAAAAATCTGGATTATCATTTTTTTAATTAAATTATTATATAGTGAGCGTGTTCCAATCCGTTCAAAATCACAATCATGCGATGGTGTACAGAGTTCATTATGAGTTGATGTGAATAAATGTCTAAATAATAGTTTATAAAACATTTGAAGCCAAAGGAGATACCAGTAATAGACAGATGCAGCTCTTACATAAATTTAAAACAATCAAGTTGCGCATGGATTTTTAGGTGAAAGATTCGATAATGTGCATTAAATTCCGACCAAACAGAATGAAATGAAATAAAATGGTGTTTGGCGTCCTACTGCTCTGCCCCGACTAGGCTAATGAAGACGGATATATGTCATATAGTGTACTTTGATGGAAATGTGTACACGATACCTCGGTTTTTCGTACCATCCGAACGACTAGACATATGTCCTTGTCAGCCCCCCCCCCCCCGCCTTGCACACTCCAGAAAAATCAGACCAAACAGCTTTTTAATGAAATTTACTCACCATAATAATGATCAACTCAGTAACAACTATATTTATTCGGAAGTACAAGGTCCTGGCTTTGAGAGACTCAAATCTGCATTGTATCTGAAAACAAAAGAAATGACAATTTTACCAAAATAAATGAAATAATCAGCTTTATTTTGAATGCATTATTATGTGACACAATACGTTTTAGTTGGTCTTGTACAAGCGATGTGTATGCTTAGGATTTTAAAATTACCTGATATCATTTGAGTTAATTCTGCTATTTAGCGCGTTCCAGGTGATTAAAACACAGATCATATTTCGTTTCGTTTTTTTATAGTTTAAAATTTCTTTTTACCTGTCTTTACTACACTAGGATCTGAAAGAGTTCTTATATAACCCGCATTCTGATTGATGTGAGGTATTAGCCAATGAGGATCGGTAATCAAATGTCTGATGTCATAAGGTGAAAAGCCACTCGCATTACCCCTAACGCGACCTCCTACTACAACCGTAGTGGACGCCATCGAAAGTACAAAAAAAAAAACGAAACGAAATTAGATCTGTATTTAAATCAGATTGTAGCGCGATATATAATTTTATGCCATTCTGGGCCGTAACTAGCTCAGAGAAACGAGGGTGACGGGAGTGCTGTAAAATTGACGGACAATGTATGTCTAGGGTGGTTTGACACCCCTGATCTAACCCGTGTTCTTGTTGATATGTAGCAAGTATTACGAGTCAATTAATATATATAATAATATTATCTGACCTGTGTTGTTATTGAAATGTAGCAATAAGCGTAAGTCAATTAATATATAATAATATTATATGTTTTTATTGAAATGTCGCAGGTATTATGAGTCAATTAATATATAGTAATATTATCTAACCTGTGTTCTTGTAAAGGTGTAATGAAGGATCATAGCTTGTGTAGCCGCCACCTCTGTTTCATATTCAGCTAAATACCTGAAAATATTTAAATTGTCAAACTGAAAACATTGGTTATTAGACCATTGCTCCATGGATTGGGGAGTTGGATGGCTAAATGGTTAGCGTGTGCGCGCTGTATCATAAAGTCTGTCCTTGAGTCAACTGACGTGGTTTCTCATCCTCGGTTGAACGTGACAAGGAGTAAGGTCGGCTGTGGGTTTTCTCCTGATCCTTCGGTTTCCTCCTACTTCTAAAGACCCCTACGCGGAAGCGAATTATTTAAATAAAATTGAACCATATGTTAGTCCCAAAATGACCTAGTTTGTGTCGAGTGGACGTTAAATCTCATTTCCCGCTCTCTCCCCTTAATCTGAAGGCATCTCCCGCTTAGAATCGGAAAGTGTGGGTGGGGGGGGCGAATACGTCTCTGTATCTAACCACTGCCTTGGGTCTCACCACAGTTACTGATCTTCACGATATTTTCCTTCTTAATTGTAGGTAGTCAATTTTTCCATATCGTCATCCAGGTTCCCGGGTTCGCCCGCCCCCCTCCCTCCAAAATGTTATGACCAATCCACACCCTTGACTACAACTACAGCTTTTACTACTACTACACAGAAAAACACTTACTTGGCATAGATCGCACAGTCAGCAATGAAGGTTATTTCGATATAATGAGTTGAAAATGTAACACCCCTCTTTACTCTGTCTTTTAACTCTGTGGAATCCATGCAAATAAAAAAAAGGATCAATACATTTAATATTAGCTTTGACTTGTGAAACAATCTGTTACAAACCAGTTCCATGAAGCCTCTTGGGTGGATATTATTTAATGAAAAATCTTGATAAGTATACCATCAGATCAAATTGTTTTATATTATTAAAACCCCCTAGATGGGTATACCATCAGATCAAATTGTTTGATATTATTAAAACCCCCTAGATGGGTATACCATCAGATCAAATTGTTTTATATTAATTAAACCCCTATATGGGTGTACCATTATATCAAATTGTTGGATATTATTTAAACCCCTTTATGGGTGTACCATTATATCAAATTGTTGGATATTATTAAAACCCCCTTTATGGGTGTACCATTATATCAAATTGTTGGATATTATTAAAACCCCCTTGATGGATGTACCATTAGATCAAATTGTTGGATATTATTAAAGCACCTTAATGTGTGTACTATAAGATTATATTTGTTTGGTATAAGTATGACCCCCATTCCTAGAGTATTCCATACTGAAGAAAGGCAGAAACATAAATTTGATAAAAAGTTATTCCATGCAGAACATAATGTTGGCTGATGTTAAAGGAGCTAAATCGCTAATATTTGGGACCTAGAAATTGAGAAAAATGGGTCGCAACACATATAATAATGTAATATGAATGTATATAAACTGATTTACATATTCAATCTTTTCTGTTTTTACTATTTCTAATTAGTTATGTTCGGTGAAATACGCCAGAAGTCTCATGTGAATGGCAATCTTTAGCGTCTGTTTTTTCCAGTCTACACCGATGGTATTTATTGCGCATGCTCTCCAGAAAAGAATATAGCGTCACCATTTGACATGACTTGTGGAATATGTCTAGTCCTGTTCTTTGAGTCCCTAGTTCCAAATGGCGCTGAAACGCATTATGGTAAAATGTTTATTTTGTCTTGAATATTGGATATCAGAAGCCCATCTTTTCAATGTAAGATCACAAGACCAATGTTGATTTGAATTGACAAATAATTCGTGTTTTAAATGTCGAAGATTTTTGATGATATTGAGTAAGACACTTAGCTACTTTAAGATTTTACCTCTATGAACGAAATCGGTGTTAATATCAAACGCATCGGAGGAGATAACTTCATGCATATTTTCACCAGAAGTGTGTCGTTTAGTACGACTAGCTGGCGCCATATTAATCATTTGTCCACCATGATTAAGACTTCCCTCCTGAAATTAAACAGAAAGTATTTTATAACTTTTAAAATATGAAATGAAATGGGGTTTAACGTCCTATTGTTCTGCTCCCACGAGGCTAATGAAGACGGGCATACGCCATACAGTGTGCTATGAGGGAATTATATCCCGGACAGCGGCACTCCGACCTACCCTTACATCGAATTCCAACTGCAGACGGGACCTCGGTTTTTCGTCCCATCTGAACGACTAGACAGCTGTCTTTGTCAGACCCTTCGTCCTGCTCCCCCATTTAAAGCATACTTATTAAAAACTTACAAATACACGAAATCGCGTATAAAAATACTAAACCAATCAATGTGGAATTGTCCAAATAACGATTATGCCGTCGTACTGTAATGAACAGAAACCACGCCTTCAAATTAAGGAACACGCGTAATATTTATGAAATGATAACTACGGTAATACTTACCAAATGATAACTGACAGGGTAAACACACGCCTTCTGATTAAGGGGAGAGGAGAAATGGGGTTTAACTTCCACTCGACACAAACTAGGTCATTTGGGGACTAACATATTATGGTTCAATTTTATTTCAATAATTCACTTGCGCGTAGGAGTCTTTAGCAGTGGGGGGAAGGAAACCGGTGGACCCACAGAAACCAACGAGGTTGGACAGGGGACCCTACGCCTTGTCACGTACAACCGGGAATTCGAAACCACGCCAGGTGACTCAATAACAGACCTTACGAAATAGAGCGCGCAAGGGCTAACCATTTGGCCATTACCCCCCTCTCCCCCAATCTGATTAAACACAGATCTTAGTTCGTTTCGTTTTTATAGTTCAAAATTTCGTTTTACTTGTCTTTACTACACTAGGATCTGGAAGAGTTGTTATCATTGACGTTTTCTGAATGGTGTGAGGGCTTAGGCAATAAATCAGTCTGTTACGGTGAGCTTTAGGCGTGTTTTGCACGGAACTTTGGGTAACCCACTAGTAACATCAATGCTGATTTGTTAATCAAATGTCTGACGTTATAGGGTCAAAAGTCGCTCGTGTGACCTAGACGTGACCTATCGCTACAACCGGTCAGATCGTCATGTAGTGTAGACCATTGAAAGTGTAAAAAAAACCGAAACGAAATATAGATCTTTATTTTAAGCAGATTGCACCAAATGATAACTGACAAGGGAAGACACGCCTTCTAATTAAGGATCCCGCGCGAATTGGGCCCCGGGTGTGTGATGAGGTCATGATATTATTAGTAGTACTTACCAAATGATAATCGTTTGCTGTCGAACGTCTAATAATAAACGCAGCTCTTTTCTCTCGGTCTTCATACACAGCCTGGGTCTATCAAATACAATTAAAGATTGAAATAATTACTATAATTACTGTTTCACTACAAATGAAATGAAATGGGGTTTAATGTCCTACTATTCTGCTTCGAACTGGGATAATGAAGACGGGCATACGCCATACTATGAGGAAATTTTGCCCTGACAGCGGCACTATGGCCTACTCTTATATCGAATTCCATCTATCAAGGGATCTTTTACGTGCACGCCAATGTGTACACGGGATCTCGGTTTTTCATCCCATCCGAATGACTAGACAGCTGTCCTTGCCAGGCCCTCCGTCCTACATCACTGACTAGGGGGGAAACCATGCCGAAATATCAGGATGAACTTTCTCGGCCAACGCAGGGATCGATGTTTCACTACAAAGCAATTAGAGTAAATTTGTTGAATTTGGTATTCTTCTTCCGTTATGTAAAAATACATTTAACCAATGTGTAAAATAATACAGACTAGATACCGAATACTGGTGATATTTTGATTCTGTTTTCTTAAAGTGGCACTATGGAAGATTAGATATGAAATGAAATGGGGTTTAACATCCTACTGCTCTGATCCGACTGGGCTAATGATGACGGGGGAGTATTAGATAAAGAGCTGACAGTTTTCGCTATTAATAGTCACAAAAATAGATAATATAACGAGTATAATAATATGCTGAAAATCTCAGTCAAATTTCTTCACTCCCAGTCGACAAACACGTATTTTAATAACGGTGTAGCCTCGATTGTCATTATCCAGTTTTAGTGTTAATCAATAACGGCCGTTGAACCGTAGATCGGATTCAAATCTGTTCAAAATCGGACCCATCAGATGGCATCGAGGGTTGATTATGGTCTTGTCATGCTAATAAATGTCTAATTAATAGTTTATATAGCATTTAGGGTCTAAAAAAAAGTTCTGCAATAAGTTGGTTTAGCGCTTGAATAATATCAATTTAATTAAATGGTAAATGGTCCTTTTGAGTACATTTTACCGTGGGTAAAACCAGCTGAATTTAGTCGGGGTATTTACCCTGCACAATTAATTTCTATTGGTTTATTCAAAAGGTTTTATTTCTAAAACACTTACGTCCAATATCGAGTTCACTTGGGTCTTTTGTCCGTTGTCGAGAACGTAAGCATCTACCAATGGACTACGTTTGAGACGAAACTTGGAGACTGCATACTTCGAGGAGATTTCCACATCCATTTTTAATGGCATTTTGCCCACTTCCCTCTTTCCTCTCCCTCCATCTTGAAAGAGGCTTGCACCGGTTACTATCACATTTATAGCATCTGAAATGTAAAATTAATGATATATTGCTATAAGTTTTTTCAGGAAGAATTGCAATCTGATTAAAATACAGATCTATATTTCGTTTCGTTTGTTTATACTTTCGATGGCCTACACTACATGAAGATATATGACAAGTTGTACTATAAGGTCGTGTTAGGGGTCGTACGAGCGGCTTTTGACCGATGACGTCATTTTATTTCATCCCAATGCAAAGGTTACTCATTCTGCTATATGTAAGTGCCTTGCTATGATGTATCTGTGAATTAAACTACATCCACTTAGGGATTTTTTGCACAGATATAAACCCTTTAAAGTGCAATTCGAAAATCTGAATTCGTGAAAGATATAATTTTGCTTAGGTTGTAGACCGTTCTAATGTCATTCAATATTGTTTCCATAGTATAGCCATTCTTCAAGAATACCATTCATTTTCTCGACTTATTGATTATCCGCATCAAGCTACCATAGTATAAATTTATTTCAAGAGGGGCCAATAACCCGTGCTCTTCAACGACATGCGTGCATACACCCTCGTCTGCGCCTAGATCGTAAGATGCTTTTGTGTGAAAAAGAAATAAAAGTGTTATTGTCATTCAATATTTTCTCATGTAAATCGGCAAAGAAAAATCCAGTGATATTACGCATTTAGCAAATAAATTTATTTTTATTTTTCTTGTTGTAATGTTCATCCAAGCATACATTACAGGTTTGTCAATGAATATGTAACACAATCCATATCGGTAAGGTTGTAACATGCATTGAAATTGACAAGAACGAGTCCTTTTAAATATCTTTTGATAGGAATAGATTAACATAATGTTAAGCAAATATTAGTCAATTTCTTATTATTTGGGGCTTTGAGTGGGACGCTGGTTATACCTATCACCTATATGATAAGGCCATCTTCAAGTTTGTCAAAAGTCACGAGATGTAAACAGTAGCGCTAATCCCAACCCTAAACCTAACCCTGGAACTAGCCCTAATGCGTACCTAACCCTAACCTATAATCTCGCCAACAATCACGTGCTCTAACCAAACCTTATTTACATCTCAGCGACCTTGACGAAAATTGAGCTGGCCTTAACAAACAGATCTAGCCGTAAGACGCAAACTAGGAGGTCTAGGGTTCGATCCTGGTGTTAGCCGAGAAAGTTTCTCATGATTTTCTAGTCGTTCGGATGTGACACAAAACCGAGGTCCCTTGTATGCATTGGCGTGCACGTAAAAGATCCCTTGACAGCTGGAATTCGAAATATGAGTAGGCCGTAGCGCCGCTGTCTGCTCAAAATTCCCCCATAGTACATTAGATGAGGTATGCCCGACTTTTTATCCCAGTCGGTGCTGAAAAGCAGGGCATGGAAAACCGAGAGAGAGAGAGAGAGAGAGAGAGAGAGAGAGAGAGAAATGGAGTTTAACGTCCACTCGACACAAATTAGGTCATTTCGGGACTAACACATGGTGTCAATTTTATTTCAATAATTCGCTTGCGCGTAGGGTCTTTAGCGGTGGGAGGAAACCGGAGGACCCGGATAAAACCCACGAGGTTGGACAGGAGACCCTACTCCTTTTCACGTACAACCGGGGAATCGAAACCCCGTCAGTTGACTCAATGACAGATCGTATGATACAGCGCGCGCATGGAAAACCATTTTATTCCATTTCATAATGTAACAAGAATATTTGTCACATTTATATTAGTCCACCTTACGTTTGAGTGGTATACTTTACCGCCATTCAAGACCCGTGTGGCTCAGTGCATAAGGTGCTGGCGTACTAACCGGGAAGTTCCGGTTTAGCGCCCGTGATTATTGACGAGATTGTGGGTTTGGGTTAGAGCTAAGTCTAGTTCGAATGTTAGGGTTAGTTTACATACCGTGACCTTTGACCAAATCTGCAGTTGGTCTTAATATTTAGACCTAAACGGTTTGACCCCTGTGTTGACCGTGAAAGGTCATCGGGATACTTAATCCAGTTTCTCTCTATCCTGCGCCAGGTTTTGTACGGCAAGTTCCAATCGGATCACCATATTCCGTGGCATTTAGGAGAGTACATTTAATTTGCATTTGGTTTAAGTTCATTTGTAAATGTTTCACTATTCCTTTACATGGGAGTGGGGTTGGATTGCCGAATGGCTAGCACGTGCGCGCTTTATCATAAGGTCTGTCATTGAGTCAACTGGCGTGGTTTCGATTCAGCGGTTGTACGTGACAAGGAGTTGGATTGCCTGTCCAACCTCATGGGTTTTCTCCCGGTCCCCGGGCTTCCTCCCACTGTCAAAGACCCCTACGCGCAAGGGAATTATTGAAATAAAATTGAACCCCATGTTGGTATCGAAATGACCTAGTTGTGTCGAGTGAACGTTAAAACCCATCTTTCTCTCTCTCTCTCTCTCTCTCTCTCTCTCACACACACACACACATTGTGTTAATCTATTCCTCTCCCTCTCTCTCTCCCTCTCTCTCTCTCTCTCACTCACTCTCTCTCTCTCTCTCTCTCTCTCTCTCTCTCACACACATTATGTTAATCTATTCCTCTCCCTCTCTCTCTCACTCTCTCTCTCTCTCACACACACACATTATGTTAATCTATTCCCCTCCCTCTCTCTCTCACTCTCTCTCTCTCTCTCTCTCACACACACATTATGTTAATCTATTCCTCTCCCTCTCTCTCTCACTCTCTCTCTCTCTCTCACACACACACATTATGTTAATCTATTCCTCTCCCTCTCTCTCTCTCACTCTCTAATTGTTTCATGGAAGTGATTGCATCAAACGAACAAGGATTGAAATACGCGTTCAGAACCATCTCTCGTTGTTTTACTTGTTCAGTACTTTGTTCGTGAAGAAGCCGAATTGTTTAATTGAAACATCAAGCATTCAAAATCATATAAAGTTATATTTGTTTTACTTGTTCATTCTTCTGCCATGAAGAAACTGGATTGTTATTAAAATATCAAACATTCAAAAACCATATAAAACCATATTCAAAACCATATATTTGTTTTACTTGTTCATTCTTCGTCCATGAAGAAACTGGATTGTTATTAAAATATCAAACATTCAAAAACCATATAAAACCATATTCAAAACCATATATTTGTTTTACTTGTTCATTCTTCTGCCATGAAGAAACTGGATTGTTATTAAAATATCAAACATTCAAAAACCATATAAAACCATATTCAAAACCATATATTTGTTTTACTTGTTCATTCTTCGTCCGTGAAGAAACTGGATTTTTTTATTAAAACATAAAGCACTAAAACATAAAGACAAAACCCTCTCACAAAGTCCCACAAAAAGGGACCAAATTGCTAACCTACACAGGCAATTCTATGCGAGCAAAGTTTACGCCATGTTATGGGTGAAATATCGATCTGTCATCATTTTTATGGACCGGCAAAATGACAAGCCCCCACCCTACCTCTTTTCTGATAATACCATGCGGCGAATAGTTATGCGGTCACCAGATAGTTCTTGCAAAAATTCTTCGTACCTGGCGAGTGAATTTGAATAATTTTTGCAAGAACTGTGCGTGCAAAATTGCAATCAAAGCACGCCGTTTGGCATATATCCAACTTCATTAACCCAGTTGGAACAGAACAGTAGGACGTTAAACCCCATTTCGTTTCAGTTCATCATTATTTCTATATCAGATAAGCCTTACCTCCCGGTTGATGCAGAGTTCTTCCTTTAAAAGATGCCGTAAAGCAGACAGTAACGCACAATGAGAGAACAAGTATCCGATACATAATTCTAGCACAGACACTGTTTCACCGTAATATGCGCCTATAGAATTGTGCACAGTCCTAAACATCATTTGAATTTATATAGCCATAAATCGAATCGTATCGGTTTTTAATGGCTCCGTATTATTGAATTGCTGTGGGAATGTCTTGATCCAGTTTTTACACAGGTGTGGCTCCCACAATATATGTTCTATAAACGAAATATCGACTTTGACGTAACACATCCGAATATCCGATGGACTGTTTAATAGGCTCTAATATTTAAAGATGCATTATGTAAGATTTGGATAAAGTGCAGGCTGTTCTCAAAATTTGTTTCGACAATAGATAATGCAAAAGGAATATATTGAAAATTTCATTCAAATTACTTTATTTTGAACAAGGTTATCAATGGTTGTAGTTTTGACAAGATATGTGCATTGATCGTAGCCACCGTACTTATCATTCGAGTCTAAGCTTCGCTTCTCGATTTTTTAAATTAAATCATTTATTGGCTGAACCGCCCGAATCTATCAAAATATGTGGCATTCGATGGCATCGAGAGTTGATTATGATCTTGTCATATTAATAAATGTCTAATTAAAATAAGGTATAAGGCCCAAAGGAATACTTGCAAAAGGCAAATTTAACTCTTACGTAAAGTCTTTTTAAATAACCTTATTAAAACAGTTAAAGATACATTATGGGAGATAAGATAAAGAGATGGCAGTTCTCGCTATAATAGTTAAAAACTAGATAGTGTAAAGGTAAATTGATCCACTATGAGCCGAGAAAGGAGCGGGTGAAATTTTTGCATAGTCTCGAACATCATTACTAAAATCATGAATATAAACAGCATAGTCTCGATTATCCACTTTTTTTGATTTAATTATCAATAGCCGTTAGCGGCATATAGGAATCTAATCCAGCCAACATCGAAGGCAAGCCTTGACATCGAGAGTTTATTATGGTCTGGATAAGTTAATTAATGTCTAATTGATAATTTAGATAACATTTCAGGCCTAAAGAAAGACTTGTAATAAGCAGATTTTTCGACTTTCTGTTATGGGGTCCCCAGTATTTTTCGAAGATTCTAAATAGAATGGCAGTCTTTGGCGTCTGGTTATTCCATCTGCACCGATATTATTCTCTTGAGGGATATGTTTAGCCTCGTTCGTCGAGTCGTTTCATTACAATTGATGCTCCGATGCATTATGATACACGAATGGTAAAATGTTTATTTTGTCTTAAAAGTTTTTCTTAGTAAGATCACAATATGTGTTAACTCAGGTATCATTTAGTTACCTGTTCGGCCCTCAAAATTTATTCATTAGTAAAGTCTGATGTTTGAAACATAAATTATTAAATTTAAAGACCCAATTTATATAAAGTAAACAAATTAACTACAATGTGTTGAACCAATGAATCTGTCATTTTCTGGGGGAGGGAGGGGGTGTGGAGGGTGGGATGTTACCTCGTGTGCATTGCGTCATAAGGTTTGTTATCGAGTGGCTTGGTTTCGATTCCCAGTTTGTATGTGACAAGCAGTAGGGTCGACTGTCCAAACTCGTGGGTTTTCATCGGGTCTTCCGGTTTCCCCCCACAGCATCACCCCAAAGTGTACAACACAATGATGATCACGTTTGTGATAAAATCAATGGTACCCCTTAAAACTTGGTGAAGTATCCTATATATTATAATAATGTCAGCTGTTGTGATATCGCGATATCAATAAGTTAATAATTATGTCAAAATGGTGTGCTCGTTGCTATGATTTTACCCGCGCTATTATTGACCTTTATAGGTTTCCATAGATATCTTCCATAGATATCTGGTGTGTAGTGTTGATGGATTACATCTTGGAGTAGACCCGCACTTGTGAAAGGTTGAATGTACTTGATTGGCTCAAAATATATCGGTCAACGTTCTCCAGATTTCAATGAGATTAAAGTGTAAACAAACGATAAAATATCATATAATGCGCGGAGTCATACAATGTGATCAAACGATATGTGTCCATGAAAAGTGCTTATCCCAGCTCGGAGGCCGTGGTAGCTCCGTGAGTAGGTCGTCAGCTCGCTAACCTAGAGGTCCCGTGATCGATCTCTACGTTGGGCGAAACCCCGCCAGTTGACTCAATGACAGACCTTATAATACAGCGCGCACGTGATAACCATTCGGCCATCCACCCCCCACCCCTCGCTCGATATGAAATGGGGTTTAACGTCCTACTGTTCTGCTCCTATACTGGGCTAATGAAGACGGGCATACGGCATACAGTGTGCTATGAGGGAAGTTTTGCCCGGGCAGCGGCACTATCGACTACTCTTATATCGAATTCCAACTGCCAAGGGATCTTTAACGTGCATTCCAATGTATACACGGGACCTCGGTTTTCTTCTCATCCGAAAGACTAGACAACTGACCTTGTCACGCCCTCCGTTCTGCACCACTGACAAGGGGAAACCACGTCGGAAAATCTGGATGAACTTTCTCGACCGATGCAAGGATCGAACACCCGACCTCCAGGCTAGCGTCTTACCTACCCAGCCACCGTGACCGCCGATTATATAAGAAAGTTACATAATGTTACTTACAAATTAATCGATTTGAATGAAGTTCGGCCAATATGATTCCTGAACTTTTATTCTTGCATATTCGAGCTAGGGGCGCTGGCTCGCTAGCCTCGAGGTCGGGTGTTCGATCCCTGCACTGGTTAAAGGGGAAGACAAACGATTTTCAACAAGGTTTCCATAAACCTTAAATATATATTGATAAATAATTCCCTCTGTAGCACAAGCAAAAAAGTTTTTGTAAGCGAGAAATTAATTTTTATTAAAACAGGAAGTGACATATTGGTTCAACACGCTGACTGGGCTCTATAGTAAGCATACAGATTTGGCATAAGTTTATTGCTGTATTGTGTTCACGCGTCGTCCTTTGGCCAAAAATCTGATCAAATGGGCTGTTTGTTAGGATATCATAAACACGAATAAACACGCTGTCCGGGCAAAATTTCCTCAAAGCACACTGTATGGCGTATGCCCGTCTTCATCAGCCCAAGTCGGAGCAGACTAGTAGGACCTTAAACCCCAATTTTATTTCATTTCTTAGATATTCACCCTTCGCCACCCCCAGGTTACTTCCCTGTCTACAAGGAAGCTATTGCTTCACAGAAGGTACATAAGACACAAAGGTAACGTAGGTTGGCTACGAGAGAGACTAGAGAGAGAGCGAGAGAGAGAGAGAGAGACTAGAGAGAGAGAGAGAGAGAGATGGGTTTAGCGTCTACTCGACACAAACTAAGCCATTTTGGGACTAAATGGTTCAATTTTATTTCAATAATTCGCTTGCACCTAGGGGACTTTAGCAGTGGGAGGGAAAGGGGCACTCTGAGAAAACCCACGAGATTGGTCAGGCGGCTCTACTCCTTGTCCCGTACAACCGGGGAATCTAAACCAAGCCCTTTGACACAATGACAGACCTTATGATACAGCGCGCACGCGCTAACCATTCGACCATCCAACCCGTTAGAAATAGATATAGTAATACACAATTTTTTTTAACGACAGTTGAATTAGTGTTAAATGTAAACGGGGCTAACACTAATCCCAACCCTAACCCTGGACCCAGTCCCAATGCTTACCATAACTCTAACCTACAAACTCGCCAACAATCACATGCCCTAACCTTAAGAGATGGCCTTAAGAAAAAGATTTAGCCATTCTTTTTTTTATAAATAATAATGTATTGAAATACATGCAGTACACATTTGTTACTGCTCCGTCATCTGAGTTTTGATGCCCTTTAATGGTGAGGTGGGGGGGGGGGGGCGAATGGTCAGCACGTGTGCGCTCTATCATAAGGCCTGTCATTGAGTCAACTGGCGTGGTTTTGATTCCCCGGTTGTACGTGACAAGGAGTACGGTCACCTGTCCAACCTCCTGGGATTTCTTCTGTTTCCTCCCACTGCTAAAGACCCCTACGCAAAAGCGAATTATTAAAATAAAATTGAACCATGTGTTAGTCCCGAAATGATCTCTCTCTCTCTCTCTCTCTCTCTCCGTTATCTAAGTATTGATGTCCTTTAATAGTGAGTTGACCCACTGGTTTAACTATGAAAAATTTGTTATTTTAAATATATCATGAATAATTCATACCTCATAACACTAAACGATTCATAAATTACAGGTCGAGGTGAGGTTTTCCTGTTAATTCATGTGAATTATAATATAAAACGCATTTATATTATGTTTTTCGAGTGGTCCATGTGTTGTGTGGTATTATTTATGATTTAATGTTTACGTGATTTTTGAAGCGCGTCTCCTATGCGTAACCTATACCCTTCGTCATGGTCTTTCTAAACTATAAAACCTCGTGGGGTTTCTCTGGGTCCTCCGGTTTCCTCCCACTGCTAAAGCCCGCTACGCGCAAGCGAATTGTGGAAATAAAATTGAACCATATGTTAGTCCCGAAATGACCTAGTTTATGTCGAGTGGACATTAAGTCTCTCTCTCTCACGTTCTCCGGTTTTCTCCCACTGCTAAAGATACCTGCGCTCAAGCGAATTGTTAAAATAAAACTCGAGAGAGAGAGAGAGAGAGAGAGAGTGTGTGTGTGTGAGTGGACGTTAACTCTACCTCTCTCCGGTTTCCTACCACTGTTAAAGATACCTACGCTCAAGCGAATTATTGAAATAAAAACTCGCGCCCTCTCTCTCTCTCTGTGAACAGTGTTCAGCTTACAGGTAATAGATTGGCTTAATATGGTTCAAAAGACGAGGATGGAAGATTTTTTGCATCGTGTACTCAGTAATTCATATTCTTTTCAATGCTACATTGTAGTTATATACTATTCAAAAAAAGTAGGGGATATTTGATTTTTAAGTGTTATTAAAGTCACCTAATGAAACTGACGAAGAAACAAATGACAAAATGAAATGAAGTTCACATTCATCGATTTATTCCAAATGATCGTTAGACTAAGTAAGGCACAGACTGACCATTATAAGGGTAAAATGATACCCGGGGTCAAACAGCAAAGTTACCACAGCATCACAACCAAGTCAGTAACGGGTAAATCCTCCTCTGTTTGCCAAACAAGCATTGATCCGACGTGGCATACTCCTAATGAGACGTCTAAGGTCATTTTGGTCCAGATTGTCCCATTCCTGTTGCAACGCAGCAGCAAGTTC